AAAAGCAAATTGGGCGCTATCACGTAGACGGCTATAATCCCTCTACAAACACATGTTACGAGTTCTTTGGGTGCTTTATTCACGGACATGACAAGTGTTACCCGCCGGGAGGTATGAATCACCTATCTAAAAAGACTTTTAGTGATCTCTACATTGCAACCATTGACAAAATAAAAAACCTGAAAGATCAATCCAAAGTTAATGTGGTAGTCATGTGGGAATGCGAATGGAACAAGTTAACTAAAACAGATGCTTCTGTGAAAGAATTTCTCAAAGATTACAAAAGTCCAGAGCGTTTAAATCCACGTGATGCTCTTTATGGAGGTCGGACAAATGCCATAAAGTTATATTACAAGGTGTCTAACGGTGTAAAAGTACTCTACTATGATTACACAAGTCTATATCCGTCTGTACAAGCGTGCAAAGAATACCCCATAGGTCACCCACAAATCATCATTGGTGATTTTGAACCTCTAGAAGCATATTTCGGATTTGTTAAATGTGTAGTATTGCCGCCTAGAGGACTGTTACATCCTGTGTTACCACATAAAATGCATGACAAACTGTTTTTCATCCTATGTAAAACATGCGCCACAGAATTGAATCAAATGACCGAGTGTGATCACACTAGCACAGAACGAGAATTCACAGGGACATGGCCTATTTCCGAAGTGCTAAAAGCTGTGGAAAAAGGTTACATTGTACAGAAAATTCACGAAGTGTGGCATTTTGCTGAAAAATCAGATCAACTGTTTAAAGGCTATGTCAAAAAGTTTTTGAAAAGCAAACAGGAAGCCAGTGGCTATCCTGATCATGTGAAAACACCTGAGGATGAGGAGAAATACATTGATGAATATCACGAACGTGAAGGTATTTTACTGGATCGCCACAACATCAAACCTAATAAGACGCGACGGAGCTGTAGCAAATTGTTACTGACTAATTTGTGGGGTAAATTCTGTCAACGTTCAAATCTTGTGCATACAGAGATGGTGACAGATCCTGCGCGTTTTATGCAACTCATGTTTTCTGATCATTTTGAAGTCACCCAATTCCACTTCATTTCCAATGCATTGGCTATAGTACAATGGCGCTATGCTAATGGGGTTCAGTCGCATGCAAAAGATTGTAACATTTTCATCGGGGCCATGACAACATCCTACGGAAGACTCATGTTATATGAACTTCTGGACAAGCTTCAAGACAGAGTGTTATATTGTGATACAGACTCTGTCATATTCACAGCTAAAAGTGGTGAGTGGATCCCACCCACAGGGGGGTTCCTAGGTGATTTGACCGATGAGCTCGGCAATGGAGACAGCATTACTGAATTTGTCTCAACAGGGCCTAAATCGTATGCCTACAAGACGGCCCTAGGGGACAAACACGTCAAATGCAAAGGTGTGACTTTGAGGGGTGCAAATGTGGAGACCGTGACACACGACTCTCTAAAAGACTTGTTAGATAAATTCATGGCTAATCGAGAGACGGATGAACATCTGACAACAGTATCTGACACGATTACCAGAGATAAGACACGCTTTCACCTCAAAAACAGGTCACTTGTTAAAAAATTGCGTGTGACATACGACAAACGTCGCTTGCTCAATGACTACTCTACAAAACCCTATGGATTTTAAATCAGAGCTTTTTGACTCAAGGCTCCAGCATCCTTTTAGCTCTGTTATTAGCGGCCCATCAAATTGTGGCAAGACATATTTTGTTAAAGACATTATTGAAAATGCAGACGCTTTAATATCCCACAAAATTGAAAACATTGTCTACATATATTCATGTTGGCAACCGCTCTATGACGATATTCTAAAAATACGTAATGTTAACTTTATCAAAGACCTGCCAGAATCTTTGGCAGATGATACACTGTTACCACCGAGCAAAAACAATCTACTTATAATCGACGACTTGATGAACGATGCTTCAAACAATTTGGAAGTGCAAAATGTATTCACCAAATATGTCCATCATAGAAATCTTAGTTGTATTTACATGGTCCAAAATTTGTTGTGCAGGGTTTGTTTGTGCAGGGTAAAAGCAGTCGCACAATTAGTTTAAACACAAACTATCTAATACTTTTTAATAACCCCCGGGACAGATTCCAAATATCTCTACTAGGTAAACAAATGTTTCCTAACAAATCCAATTTTTTTCTAGAGGCTTTTAATGACGCTACAAACAGACCCTACGGGTATCTTTTAATTGATTATAAAACTAAAACGCCTGATCACTTTAGACTCAGAACGAGTCTGCTTTCCGACAAAGTAGTTGTGTATATACCTAAAAAGGGGAAAAAGTAATTATGTCGGCACGTGTGGTACGAAATTTATCTTTGCTACAGTTACTATATAAGGCTTCGCCCAAAATGAGAAAGGTTATTCTGACTAAAGCAAGTCCGGACCTTATTAACACCCTGTCAGAGCTAGCCATTAACGTGCTCAGTGGGAACATACCTCTGACTACGAAACAGTATAAGCAACTTGAGAAAAAGAAAAAAGTTATTAGAGTTATCAGTAACAAAAAGTTAAACGTTTTAAAGAAGAGAAAAGCCTTGAATCAGCAAGGTGGATTTCTACTACCGCTTTTGGGAGCTGCTATACCGTTTATAACGAGCCTCATCACCAGTCGTTAACATGGAATATACGGAAAAAGTGTATTTGGTGCCGCAACAACAGCTGGATAAACTAACGCAGCAGGGTCATGAAAAATCCATCGCACACAGGGTACAGACAGAGTTGGACAAAGAAATGCTTGATATTTTGAATAATGTAGCTATGGACCCTAATGAAAAAGCTAAACACTATGCTCACATTCTACAACGTTTTCTTACGCTGGTGAGAAAAGAGGAGAGTGAAAAATCTGTTTTAACATTAAACATGCCTATCTCAGCTATAGAAGATCCTGTTGTCAACACAGACGTGATAGCTGCCGAGGTTATGAGACATATTCCACGAAATAGTCATAAAAACGCTAAGTTAATATTGGAGATGTTGTCAAAGACACCACGGGTGGTTACGTGGAATGGAGATGGTGAAGTTGTGATTAACGGTAGTGTTGTAAAGGGCTCTCATGTTTATGACCTCATTAAGAATGTTACAGGTAGTCATAATATACTAGAAATTTCAAGACCTATTGGATGGTCTTCATATTAATCTATTTTTTTTAAAAACACTAGCCGTAATATCAATATTTTGTAGCTCTCATAATATTTTTTTATTTTGATAAAGAATTATTATTAAATTTTAGTAATAATTAAGATAAGATACTCCTTTATTGTCTCCCACTGGAGAAATTCAACAAGGGGGTTCACAGGCTTCACACTCTTATAGATCCATGTTTACACCACATATATGGGCGGCACAGTGGCTGAGTGGATAGCACTCTCGCCTCTCAGCAAGAAGGTCCTGGGTTCGAATCCCGGTCGGACCAGGGCCTTTCTGAGTGGAGTTTGCATGTTCTCCCCGTGTCTGCGTAGGTTTCCTCCGGGTACTCCGGTTTCCCCTACCACTAAAAATATGTCCAATAGTTCTGGCATGCGCTTCCTGTACTGGCAACCCTGCTCCCATCTCTGTGTGGAGTGAGAGACAAATGCCCAAAATTAACAATTGTAAACCGCTTTGAGACTCAGATCTGCAGTGAAAAGGCGGTATATAAATAAAAACTTACTTACTTACTATATCTGCATAGACCACAGAAGTAGACCCCCAAACATTGAAAACAGAGGCAAAAAGAACAATATTTTTGAAACAATTAATCTTCAGCAAATATAATCAAATGGGGCACATGACAAGGGGCCATTATTTACTGCAGCGTATTGAATCGTTGATAAATATATCAAATGGTTTTTGAACTATTTGTGAGATTGCACTGTACTTTAAAGAAGCTACAAAAATGCATTTGTAGAAATGTGAAAAAGTATCCATTCAATTCAATTTATTCTTGTATAGGCCTAAATCACAACAGCAGTTATCTCAGAGGACTTAACAAAACTGTGGAAATTGCACAGATTCAACAAAGATCAGAGAATGAAACGGTTCAAAAACGTGTATTATACATCTTAGGTAGTTGACCAATGTCCAAGAATATTGATAAATGTCCATATAGAATGTTAAATGTTAATGTGTCCTTGATCATCACCACAGTCCTTCTTGTTAGACACTAACAGACTCTTGGCATGGAAAAACTCTAAAACCCAGAGGGAGACAGGTGAGAAACCTCGTAGAGGTCCACATTGATAAAGAGATCCCCTTAACACGGACGGACGGGCTATAAACAAAAGCCATGTTTCTATCAACTCTCCTCTCCTCTCCTTTACTCTACTCTACTCTTCTCTACCTGGTTGTGTTTCCCTTGTGCTTTAATATTTGGCAGACTACCACAACAAAGCAGTATCCAGGGAAATTGATATGTAATCATCACTTTCACACTTTAGTACCTGCTTGGCTTGGATAGAACCAGGGCCAAGCAGGTACTAAAAAGTACCTGGTACCGGGTAAACAGGCCCGGTGGAAACCCTCCCAATCGCGGTAGAGTAAAGCTGAGTAGAGTAGACTATATAGGGCCAGTTAGGGCTAGTAGAAACACGGCTTTAAAGTTACTGTAGTCTAGTATTTTGTCCTCATACAGTATGATTTAAATACGAGACGATTCACCAGGATCATTTCAGATCTTGAGCAGCTTGTAGGCAGCATGTCACTTCTGTCTCTTTGCTGGTTGCAATTGTTACTTGGAGAATAAAACATTCATTCTTACTCTCAATCCTCCAGAGACAAAAACATGACAGCATCATCATGTCGGCTCTAAACACACTCTTCCCCTCCCACTCACACACGCTCATCTAACGCCACTGCTTGTGCTTAAAATTCAATTACCCACTTATTGATAGCTCTCAGGGGCGCTGCAGAAGTGGACAAGGAGTGGGTGATGATTTCCCAGGAGGCCGTGCTCCCCTCGCCACGTCTCCAGCTGGATCTATGTCATGGTTTTTACTCATCAGTGAAGGCAGCAGATGGAGCCGCCTCATCCACCTGCACACAGCGCACGCCACACAAGATCCTGGGATAAAGGACATAACAGGTTACAACAGACAGAGCGGCAGTGGTCCCTGTGGCATTTCAGCAGCAGTGGTTGTGATGTGGTCATGGGCTTTTGGGGTGTATTATGGTCAACATACGTACAGAGCTTTTACTATTGAAGACATTTAATATGCCCTTGTTGAATAGTCTTGATTCAAAGGTTATGATTGTGCTCACCCATGTAAATTCTGCATACAGTATATCAGAAAGAGATTCTGTGTTTTTGTCATGTGATAAAATGTAAAAAGAATCCAAAAGGCAGGACTGAAAATTAAGTATAATTTAATCAAATAAATCCAAAATTCCAGAACTGAATATAGTAAAAAAAAAAAAAAACAGGTCACAATGATCCAAAAAGTCCACACCATAACAGTTTTGAGCTCTTGTTTTAGCCCAAACAGGTCATTTGTATTCCCATTAATATTCATAATTTATATATACTGGCTCTTTGAACACAGTATTTCAGGACCATGGCTTTTGAATCAAACAATCAAGTTTATTTATAAATCGCAATTCATGCAGTGCAACCCAAAGTGCTTTACAAAGACATACAATCATACAAGCATTATAGAACAAATAAAACAATAATGCTAAAAGATTTAAAAAAAGACTGAATGTTGGAATTAAAACATGTAAAACGCAGTCATACGCACAGCCAAAAAAATATAGAATAGTTTATTATTATTTTTGTAAGATTTACTCTTTCAATTGATATCAAATGAATGACATTATCAGCTGCAGAGATAATTCATACCAAACATTCACAACCAGTGAACCAGTTTGGAGCATCTTTACTGGTTGTGGTCCACAGGTTGGCCACGCGTCTGCATGTCCCCAGGGGCCACACAGGGGCCTCACAGGGGACAGCCTCACTTCCCACTAATTACAGCACTCATCCAAGCTCTCCCATGGGACAGCACTGTTCTGATGCCAAAAACCTGCCACCGTTTAGAACCTCATCAGGCTACAGCTGGGCTCCTGGCAGATTTCACTTAAACTCCTGCTCAAGGAGGGGCGAGTGCCTTTATGTCACGCAACAACTGGAAGAGGGAGGCTAAAACAATTTAACACTGGAAGAGGGAGGCTGAAACAAAAAACACTGGAAGATAAGCTAAAACAAAATAATGTCATTTACTAATTGACTTTGCATCACCAATGAATGAAAACTGAAAAAAGGGAGATTAGCCTTAGGAGTCTATCTATGAGTTTTTACAATGATAGAAAAACATTTTAAAACATCCCAGACTTGGTGTAGATAGTACAGGCCTATAGGTGCAAACATGATTTGACATTGTAAAAACTGAACTGCACACACTCACGATGGCCAAATTTGACCACAGGAATAATAATATTGTTTTATGAAAGAAAAACTCCTATTTCAGTAATATATAAAAATAGATGGTGCTATAGGTCCCATCTTGGAGATATGACACATGAAGTTTGGGTCTATAAGAAGTTCAGCCGAAATCGTTTCAATATCTTCAGTTCATCAAAAGAGCAGTCTTTCTGGTAAACACCAATGAATGACATTCCTCATCTCTCTTACAAAACAGGGCTCTGATTTTTGGTTTGAAAATACACTTTAAACAATAATTGCTGTTTAAGAGAGTATACTTGCATGAGAAGGTGTTAGTGTGATTCAATCTAAGATATAATCGATTTAATCAAAGTCAGAGATGGTGGAGCTGAAAAATGTTTTTGAACTGCTCTATTCGATATAGACTGATGCTCGAGTCAAAGTATAATTGTAAAATCCATAAATAATTATGTATACTATAACATTAATAAACGTTTATTTTTAATTGTTGAAAGAAAGAGTGCAAATAATGTACTTAAATGTGTACTAACATGATTGTGAATATATATATTTAGTCAAAAGCGCAGCGTCGAAGAGTGTGCAGGTGGTTTATGCAGATTGCAGTCGATCTGTTCTTTATTTGACCCCGTTCGTTTGCGTCACCTTTCTGTAACTGAAGCGCCCTCTGCCGGTCATTCAGAAAACAGGTATTTGAGAGACACAATACTATGTATATTTAAAAAAAAGATGAGATTGAGTAAACAATGATGTGAATTAAACATGTTGCTCATAATAATGTTATGTACCACCTTTCTGAGCTCCTGGAGACACTTAAATATGGCTTTATTCATCCACTCTGTACAAGGAGGTAGAATAGTACTGAAGCCACATCGGCCCTGGGGCAGAATGACCAGGGAATGATCACCACCAATTTGCTAGTTATATTTAATAGATAGATAGATATCAATAAAGTATACTCCTTGTACAGAGTGGATGAATAAAGCCATATTTAAGTGTCTCCAGGAGCTCAGAAAGGTGGTAATATAATATTATTACACATTTCCCCACTGTAGAATGAATAAAGGATCTCTTCATCTTAATGTAAGGAAATGCAAGTGTCTTGCCTTATAACAAACAAGGCAATTTGCTTTAAGAATACAACCAATGCTAGTCCTTCAATGATTTTATTATGATTGATTTTGTTGTATAAAGCACTTTATTTATTTATTTATTTATTATTTATTAATTTTAATAATTAAAGCTCGTGGTCTTCAGGGTGGTAAAGTTCACTCATTAGACGATAAATATATGACGGTGCATGGCCTCCGATGTTTGAAATGAACAGAGTTATGAGCTCGGGGGGGACGTAGTCAAAGACTGGGCAGTGCACGTTCACTTTCGATAATATTTCACCTAAAAAAAAAGAAAGAAAAAGGGTAATTGGAAGAAAATAGTAAATCAAGCACATGTTAAAGTGGAAGAGATTCATCTTCACCTTCAGTGAAAGGAAGCACTTCTTGAGGAGAAACAAACTTATGAAACGTGTCTTCCTCATTTGGAAACTAGAGAAATGTAAATTATAAATACATTATTATTAAAATATCAAACCACAGCAGTTCAGTATCGATGGGAATGCAGTCTTACTTGGGGCGAAAGCTTAAACATTGGAGCACAAATAATAAGTGGTGTTGAATGGTGCTTGGCTGCGAGGGCGAGCGTGTGCGTCCCATTCACAGCCCTTAACCCTCCGTTGGCCAGCACGGTTTGAGTCCCAATGATGACCTACAGACAATCATATTCATATTCAACCAATTATATACTTCGCTAATCATACACTTCCCTTACCTTGTTGACACGAGACATAACTGCAAATATACCAGCGTCTGCAATTACTGTGGTTTCAATGCCAGCTTTTGAAAGACTGGTGGCCATCTCATGTCCCTGTGAGGAGTTTTTAAAAATTAGAGTGATGTATTGTTTAAAAGGAACTGGTTTGTTACAATACCTGGCAGAAGGGGGCGCACTCAGCTACAATTACATGAAACTTGCGCTTGCGTGCAGCATCTTTGAGAAATGCTTCCACTGTGCGTGAGCGTCCAATCGTCATGATGACCTCATTGGAGTGAATGTGTTCCAAAGCCTGCATCGCAATGTTGTCCGTGGTTCCCTCTGAAAATTATCCACATATTCAGATAAATCAAACTATTAATTTAGCATCACGGTGAAAGACATTGGCTTACCTAGTTCTGTTAATAACTCATTGATTGCTTCAATGACATTAGCTTTCAGCGGAGCAAAATGCTGTCTGAAGTTTTCTTCACTGAGTCCGCCTGAAGTCAAGAGCTTATGAAGAGATTCTTGTTGGTCTGCCTCCTCACTGCTTCCTCGAGACCTAAAAACAAATATATATCGTTTTATTTCAGTTGCTCTGTAGATGGAGCCAAATGAGCGTCTGCCTCGTCCAACCCAAATTAAAAATGTGTATTTTTGTTTGAGCGCTGCTGTAGGTTGGGGATGCGAGTCAAGTGCTCTTCAGGATCCAGAATGCAAACATATCAATTTTGAAGAAAAAAACACCTATGTATTTCTGTTTATTTTGTATCCTGGTTGTTTAAAGTTGAATGTATGCACACACGTATCAAATGATGTGATGTTCAAATACAGATGACATTTATATTTAAATCAATACCAAATATGATCCAAAGACGATACTAGCATATAAAAATAATGTACGTATTAGAAGAATTTGTGAGACAAAGCATTCCCAGATCAGGTAAATGATCGAGCTATGTTATCCGGTGCCACCATCAGTAATGATGGATTCTTACAAAATATATGAATGAAACACCTCAAGCTGTTCTTCTATATTCCAATGTTTGTAATTACAAATATTCACCTGGCATACTCCTCTCTGATGATCTTCAGGACACGTCGGACCATGTTGCCTACAGTGGTCTCAGACGGCTGGGCAGCAGTCATTCGTCTCCCTTCTTTTCTGATTATTTCCATGAGATCACCTAAAAATAAAATCAACAGGTTTAACACAGTCAGATTCGGTTTCTTTGACATTTGCAATATAACCACAGTGTGCAACATACTAGTTAGATAAATAAAACAAGCTAATACGTAAAGGCAAAGATTGTCAATGTGATACAAATTGACATAAATATTATTAACAAATGCAAGATCGCAAGTGCAAGTGCAAGTGCTTTGTTGAACGATTACCTACACTACTATCACTACCATCAACATTATCACTACCACCACCACCACCACCACCACCACCACACGTGACCATATGATGCAAGTTTGTAAAATGTCAGGCTAGTTACATGTTTACTAGAGGAAGGCTAATTTCTCAGTAGTCTCACAAAGTGGGGAGAGCCAGACAATAAATGACTGAAGCCTCATACTTTGACAGATGTAAATGACCTACAGTTGTGACTGAACCTCATGTGTTGACACCGGACAGATACCTGCACTGCTCCATCGTGCCTGGGCAGTGATGCGGCGGAGCAGGGCTGTAGTTTCTCGGGCGGTCTCTGACGAACCACGAAGAGGTCCGGTCCCGCAGCCACCACGTTTTAGTTCGGACAAAAACGCCTCTATTCTCTCCGTAAGGTCCGTTTCTTTATCTGAGCCTGGCATTTTTAATTTTAAGCCGTTTGAGCGAAGTGTTTCGACTGTTGTGTTGTACGTCACTCAAACCGGATGTACTCAGAGGTACTTCCGGGTTAAAGCGTACTTCCAGAATAATGGTTTATTTAATATTTACAGTCTATGGTTTATTCATATAAAGTAATATTTTTTTACAATTGTAGTATGTAGCGAAGCATTACCCTGTCACTTCAAGAACGGTTGCGCTACTTAGGTAAAATACATGCTTCCAGTGGAACCAGTGACGCCTGCTAACTTTCGCATGAGGTGTATAGTAATAGTTTAGTATGGAGACAATTAGAGGCTTGACCCACGGGGAGCTCGGTCCTCGTCCTGACATATACAGTCTATGGTCCTGACTTACAGTGGGGCCACATTAACACAAATTAGACTGTACCAGTGCTTTAATGGCTGTGCATAAAGTTATTTTCGGAATATAGTAAATGCTTTAACTTCTACATTATATCAAAGTACTATTTCTTCAATGTTGTCCAGTGCCAGCCCAGAACTCTAGGCCACAACCATGGATCGATTATAACCAACTAGGCCACAACCAATGATAATTCAGATTGTACAAGATGGCACTGAGCTGTGATCATACCTAGTCAATTTAAATGTAAAAAATTTAGTTTGATAGATTACATTTAGTTTAGTTTATTTAGTTCAAAGATAGTGAAAAGATGATATGGTACGTTCATACCATGCTTGATATAAAAGGTTGGAGTCTTAAGCATATGCAAACAGAAAAACGTTGTTACTCTTTTATGTTCTGGTAAAAAAAAAAAGCCCAAACAAATTTACAAAATTTATTATTTAACATAAAAAGCACTGAAGTTGTCAGCAGTGCGTGTCCTTCGTTAAAAATGTTCCCAATTTGATAATTGTCCTGCCTAGACAGACCCTACTTACCCAAACCCTTACGTCACACACAGAAATTGAAAACACACTGGCTTAAATTACTTAACTTAGGATATCAAAACTTTCAATTCTCTGAAGAAGTTCTGTCACAACGGTCAAAACATACAAACAAAAATATCAAAAATGGATTTGAAATATGTTCACTGACTCCACTTGCAGTGACCTTATTTATGAGCGAGTGAATAAACCAAAACCAAAATTACCCCAACTATAAAAGTAAAACAGCCGGTATATACAACTTGAAAAACAAAACATGAACCCATTTAGCTATCAGTCAAAAAAAATATATATATATAATAGCAAAATTAAGTGACAAAGGACAAGTGCTTGCCAATTTTATAGATGCCAATTAGAGTAACAAAAACACTTTTTCATAGCCTTCATTAAAAGGGCATCAAGGATGAATTGGTGACAAGTTAACTTGGTATGACTAATAATGTTCATATAAACAAGGGCAAAAGGCCATTATCGCATGGCACATTCATTCAAACCAAGCTCTGACATCTGCTCATGTGATTTCAGGTTGTTATTCAGTAGCTGCAACAGAAAAGAGCTTGAACTTGAATTATGTGATATAGTCTCGTAAAACATTTCTTTGCGGTCATTAAAGGCTTCAATAAAGTAATTACAGAGGTGAATTATTTTGTCTGAAAACTATCAATCTTAAAAACAGTGTCTAGATTTAGAGCAATTTTACTCTAGTTCTATTTGTTTGCTTAAGTCCAATGAGAAAAGGTCTTGCACTTTTTTCCGCCTCAAAAGCATCTCTCCATGACGCGAGGGCCTCCTTACTCAATCAGCTTCTTTGCCTTAAAGAAGCGCCGCAAGTAAAAGACCTGCCATGTGGCCAGCCCGATGAGACAGCACATGGAGAAGATGCTGAAGTAAAGGACACGCGTGTTGGTCGACTCTGGAAAAATATAAACAAATAATCAGTAATTTATGTCAATAATTCATGGAAATACTATGTTTGTGGAGAGGCATGTAAAATATATCCCCCAAGAACATAGTCAGTGCCCTGCATTGACATTTAAAATATTTGTTTATACCATTGGTATCCCGCATTTCCTCTTCCCGCTTCTTCATGTAGGCAAAGTCATTCACAATAGACTCGGACAAGTCCTCAAGACGCCGAAGTTCAACTTCAAGTGGTTTCAGCTTCTCAACTTTGGCGATCTAAGGAAAATGGAAATTTTTTACGCTGTTCAGTTTTACACAAACAATGCATGCAATAAATAAGACTTTAAAATCAATTAACAATGAACAGGGGAAAAAAAGTAGTTTGCTCAGAAGTATCTGTCAGTTATTTTAGTGACAGCTGTCAAAGCTGCACCATGGTGCTTATGTCTTTAAAACCAAGCAGACATTTACTTATTTAAATATGTATTACTCTTGTATTTGCTGGATTATTGTGATATTTTGTTGCATTACCATGAAAAAAGGGAACCAAAAAAATCAATTTTAATCAGCTTCACTCAAATTGATTTCATAAAGTGTCCCAGCAAACGTCAAAGCTGGGAGAGCTCTGACACATCACTGAGCTGTACGCTCGGGTGGGATGGTCCTCCCTGTCCACTAGGAGGCAGTGTCATTGGTACACCTTTATTTACAAGGCTCTTCTGGGGCTCCTGCCCCCTTACCTCTGTACATTACTCACACAGAGGAGCACAGAGTTATGCTCTGAGGTCCAATGAGCAGCTGTTACTTACTGTGCCTTTTGTCCGCACAGAGTTTGGAAAAAGAGCTTTTGTCCATGCAGCCCCTTCTGCTTGGAACATGCTCCAGCGAGACTGGAAACTGACCGAGCTTTTGTCTTTGAATGCTTTTAAATCAAAACTTAGAGTTTTCGAGACTGCCTCAATCACCTGTAAATGTTTTACTTGATGTGTTTAGTCTGTATATCTGTCATTTGTTTATGTAATTGTATCTGTCTATCTGTTGTGTTTATGTGTAATTTTGCTGCCTCTTGGCCAGGACTCCCTTGAAAAAGAGATTCTTAATCTCAATGGGATTTCTCCTGGTTAAATAAAGGTTAAATAAAAAAAATTAAAAAAGCACAGAGATTAAAATTAATAAGCTTTAAACTTTCATTTGAAATGAGGAGATACTAATTGTACTAGGTCTTTTTGTTTGATTGTCTCCAAATAGCCATTTCTTTATGTTAGCATCATCTTACCAATACTATTTAAAGAGAAGAAACCAGTTGAAGCTTTTGAATAGCGAAATAAATAAACTTACCTCTTCATAGTTTTTAGCCTCCACACCATGTTTCATGTCCAAGTTAACTTGCTGATCTGGTACTCTACCAGTTCCTGATCAATAATATCAAAATTATTAACATGGATTTGCCAGGTGAATAGAGAAGCAAGACACAAAAATAAACTAGTTTACCCATAGGCGACTTGCTCTCAAAGCAAACTTCAAACATGTCGTATTCTTCTGTGGTGAACGCAAACTTTCCTTTTGAGGCATCTTCTTTAGAGTACAGTGTGTGGCTGGAGGAATCTGTAATCTGAAGATTCAAGAAATATAATTTATCAAGTACGAATCTTTCTGCTGTCGGTGTTAGATGCATGTGTACTGTGTGAAGCATATGTTGACAGCGCCATCCACCAGAACACCGCTTTAATAACCCAAACACATTGAGATAACATTGATTAATTTGTATTATTATGAATGAGTGATTTATAGGAATTAAATGGTGATCCTCTCCTATTCCAACTATGTTATTAGCTGTGAATGCTAAAGTGCTAACGAGGCTAGGTCTTAAGACTGACGTGTAACAGCGACAAATCAGGCAAGGTGTGTAAACTGATTCATAACGGCAATCGGTACATCAATCGAAGAACACTACTTAAGATAACAAATTAGACCGAATAAACATACGCAAACGTGCTTGACAAACACGGGAGAGTAAAGACAACAATTATACTCCGTAAGAACCAGGAAGTCTGCGCAGCGTCGGGCCTGAATGAGCTAAAGCTAAGCAGCTGTCACCCGGTCCGTGCAAAAACCAAGAATAAATCTGGGTCACAAATGAAATACATGGATCCTCTTCATGGCACAGCACCTCACATCAGTAACATTTGTAGTAAGAGCTAGCAGCAGCAGGCTCACCTTGAGGTTAGTTTTGGTGTTGACTTGTTCACTTATTTCATATTCCCCTGTAACGAGCACGTCTTTGTGGATCTCTTCTCGCAAACATTTCCGACTGTTTACCGGCAAATGAAAAGAAATGGATAGCACCGATTCGATAAGAACCGGCAGAAGTAAAACGGCGAGCCGAGCCATAGCTGAAAAAGATCCGACTGAAACTGCAGCCGGAAGCCCCCTTAACAGCCTCAGCCAGGGCAGAGGCTGAGAGCGCTGAGGAGGAGCGCCCTCTACTGGAGCGGGGAGAGCACGACCATAAAAAATAAAAAGAACAGAAAAAAGGAGAGAAACATTAAATGCATTTAAAAAAATAAAGTTTTTTTGGTCCAACAAATTGTATTTTGTTAAAGCTTGGGGACCTGTTATTCAAACCATACGAATGTAATAAACAAAAGCCTTAAATTTCTGAGCTCTCAAAACAATTTGTTTCCAATACTAGTTTTCTCATAAGACAAGATAAGATACACCTTTATGTGTTCAGTGGAGGAATTTCAGTGTCATCGTTGTGCACATTACAGCAGAATAAAAGGAGATATTGAGCACTCAGGTCATGCTCACATCAAACAAGGTCTATTACTTAAGATAGAAAATAAAATAATACAAATAATAATCTGGAGCTCTAATTGCACTAGGGTCATGAGGTGTCACATTTACAGATGGTTGATATTAGCAGCAGAGAATGTGACCAGAAGAAAGAATAGGAATAGTAGCAGCAGGAAAAGTGACTGACGGGAAGCTGCACACCAGATCAGACACAGTCATAGTCCAGGATCCTTTTGTCCTCCATTTGGTCCACTGTGTACAGGGGACAGCCCAGGACAGAACTAGACTTCCCGATGATCTGATCCTGCTGCTCCAGTCCCTGTCACATCTTTAATTAAGTTATTATCCATTCCCCTTAATCCATTTCTGGGTCAGGGGGGCAGCAGTCAGAGCTGCAACCAATTCACAGAGCACCAGCCCCTCACTGATCCTCTTGCAGGTGGTGAGTCAACAGGAGGATGGCTGCTCTAGTTGGAACTGCCATGATCTTGGGCTTATGTGTCTTGCCAAAGGACACAGCAACAACAGACATCAGTGGGAGTTGGTGGAGAATATTTTGTGGTGGGTGAATCCACAACCTTCAGGCTGAGAGGCCAATGCTCTACCAACTGAGCCACTGCCACCCCCAGCTAAATTTAGTTCTTAAAGACGGAAAAAAAGACAACCCTCACTCCAGCCTGGCCTTAACCCTCACTCAGCTTTCTTTCTAAAAAGTCAAACAGTGACTGCACTCTCTCTTAGAGGGGCGTCCCAGACAGCACACTCTCTCACTCCGATTGCAGATACCTGGACCTGTCCAAAGGGTCTGGGCCTGCACACCACGCCACCAGCCACGCTGTTCTACGCTTTTACACACGCACCCATTTACACATATGGTTATCACACTGATACGCACCACACTACATCCCACACCATTTACACTGATTTCACTTTATTGTTTGAATAAAACGGGCAGTGAGGTTTGAAAGTCTATGTCGTGTCCTGTGAGTATAAAAAAGATAAAATGTTTTCTTGTGAGACGAAGACAGCCTGTTGTGGTCTGATTTGTTCATTACATTTTACTTTCACAAGAGACTTTCCGATGGTATGTATAATTTATGGGAAAAAAATTAACTATGGCTGTGTTTTTTCTATTACGTGCAATAGTTTTAGGATTGCGTTGAATGAAAAATGTATTGTGCAATTATAAGTATTACAGCATATCATGTGTGCTACACAGAAGAAAAGCACATTTCTCAAAGGGGAGTGGGAAGAATCAAAACTTGTTGTGTTAGCAAAAAGAAATGTGTATAGTTGCATCAATCAGCAGAATATAGATTTGCTGCTCTTCATCACCAGCCATATCTAGGAAAACAAAATGCAAGGACATTCACAATATGTTTACATACTACAAGTTGATGGTACTTTTGTCTTTAATAAATAATCAGTAAGTAAGTAAATTATTTTTTGTTTCAGTAATTCTGGGAAAAAAAAAAAGATATATAATGTATTATGAAACAAGCTCATTACCTCAGTTTCAGAGGAAGGAGGAAGGATTACCCACTGCAGACAATGAGGACATCCAGTTTCCAGGGAAACATTTGATGATCCCCAGAGACGGGGACACACTCAGAAAGAGTCTACACCAACGGACCAGCAGTCGTTATTGGAGGGAGAAGTTCCTCTCGTAACACTGCAGCTCATGCGTCAAAAAGGCTAAGAATAGCTGTTCTCTGGGAAATTTAGATTTTCACACATTTACATTGCATTTCACCAACTTGTCACAAGGCAAAGTAATATATTGAAACTTTTGACAAATAAAATGTATTATTCCATTTAAAGATAATTTCCTATACAACAAATCCAAGAACATAAATTACAGTCTTACAATATAAAATAAAAATCATATCAAACTCAAGCCCACATACAATTTATGGGTTTGGGCTTTCAATTTCATATAATACATGTTTAGCATATTTTCCCAATTCAAATATCATTTTCAATTCTTAATTGTTGATCACTTTAGCAACAAGCCTCAAATAAACCTGTGCACAGGCAATATCAGGTATACAGCACCACCCTTGATATGTTCATCATAAGTTAATTGTTTATTCATTAATGATAAAATACGCACTCACACATGTTTCTTATCCAACTCACTGTGAACTTATCTCTAGTTTTTTATTGATCAGGAGCACAAGTCATCACGCCCTTCTATTTCTTTGCTCTGATAACAAATTGAAAACCAATTCAAACATCTCTGTAGTGAGGCAAGGTTACTTTAAATACTAAATAGAGCTTACAGTATATTACTTTCAAGATGATATCGTCTCTCTCAGTCTTCTGCACAGATAGATTTTGAACATCTGGCATATTATTATAAAACTGGGCAGTACTTTAATTAAAACCCTAATATGCATTGGCTATTAATAATTAAAAAGCTTGTATTATCTAACAGCTGATGAATAATTGGGTTCAGCATATGTCTTCAGTTCCATTGTTCAAATATGTTTAAAAATGTATATCTATAAAATCGACCTGGTTTTCAGACTGTCTGCCTCTCGCTCATATCTTCATGCTTTCCTCTCATCCTCCTCTGCTCCTGCCTTTCCCCACTCAAGCTTACGCTCTAGTTCCTCCCCTGGGTTGAAGCTCCGACGCAGATTGGCGTCATAGCGGGCTAATTTTACTGTTGTCGATGCTGATGTTAAAAGGAGCATACGGCACCTGCTATTTCTGCCTCTCCTATGCAAGCAAGAGTTATTCATAGACACTGAAAATGATTAATGAATGGGGGAGAGGTTCTTAAAGTATGGGAATTGGGATTTCTTATGTAACATCATATTATGAAAGGTGATAAACATATAATGTTATATGATGTTGTGTTAAGTCAACCATGGCTTATTATTGTTTATTGATATGATTATGATTATACTGTATGTGATTCAATAATTACTGTAATTATACAAATTGCTGTTTATATATATTTATCATCAAAGTGATTAAATACAGTGTTCTAGATATGTTGCTTATTTTTGTTTTGATATGGGCTGATTTTAGGTCGGCACAAGTGAATAATTTCAAAAGAGGCTTCTGTTTTGTATGCTGACCGAGGGAGATAAAGGGGACAAGCCAGCAATGACTTTTATTTATAGTGTTATAATATATACGCAGCAACGACATCATCTTCATAGGACACATGGGTCAAAAAAAGGAAAATTGTATCTTTATTTGCTTTTTACCAGTTAAAACAGTGTTCCCTTCCCTTCTGTTTTATTCTGTTTCTTACATATTTGGAATGCACAAATGTTGCAGTTCTGAAGAGAAAGTAATTTAACCCATTTCCACAATCAAGTATTTTTATGATACAAATATAATTATTATTATTTATTAATACTTGGCCACAACAATCATGGGTTGCAAGCGAGCAAAAAAAAAAAAAAAAAAAAATAGGTTTGTCAATCCCTGAAAAGGAGAAGATCAGTGAAGCTTTGATTTTGCGTGTATTGTACAATACCCTGCAGGCGCTGTGACTTGCACACGTCCAGGTAAAATATTAGCTTCCTTTATTTCATGTCAGTCGCCCTGTTGTGGATGGACTATTGGCGAACGAAGGGCCTGAAGAAGAGCACACGGCTCTAATGTACCGTGTTATGTAAAACCCACGGTCTGTCTCTGCTCTCGAACAGGCTCCTCCAGACGGCAACAGCACTACCTCGTGGAAATACTATATATGGCCGCGGAAGCTCAACGTCATGAAAAAAAAAAAAGAAAAAAAAAGAAAGAGGAAAGAACGCGCTGACGTGAGAGCTCTGACGTACGGGGTATGGGTTAACCCTGGCAACAGCAGAAACAGCACTCGGGCTTGGAAAACTACTGCCAGTGAATCTGAATGACAGGACTGTGGAAATGTTTAAGAACAATTCCCACTATGTAAAAGCGTTAAATAATCAAACAAATAGTTACTTTAATATCACTATGTTTTATTAACATGTTATGCAAACACTCATTGCTGCTGTGTAAAAAAATAATTTCATAAATAAAAGAGCTAATGTTTTCACAGAAAACTGATTATATTATTTATTAGACCACTCAAGACCATGGTTTAAGATTTCCATTTAAACTTCACAATAATTCACACATTCTATCAACCACAAACAAAATTGATAACAACTGTTGCTGTAAACACAATACATTTTTAGTTTTATTTTAGCACCATTAAATTATATATAACTTAAATAACTGTGGCATTGTGAAAACATGCTAATACCTGCTACATTTCTATTGTAGGCAAGTTGCTAACAAAAGTTGCTATTTGTTAGTCTTTCCAAAGTCTCTTGTGATCTGCAGATTCATTTATTGATAAACTGTGCTTCGAAAGAAAGTCTGAGGACGTCTTTAAAGGGCCAGGAGCGTGGGCGAGTTGAGGGAATCGGAAGACTGGTCGTTGCTGTTGCTGCCTCTACGGTGGGCAATGCCGCAGCTGGAGAACGCCTCGGCTTCTGGAAAGGTGAACACAAACGAAGACGTGTAGGTGGTGTTGGCCGGGGTGCAGGTCACCACCGGAGTGCACAGCGGCTCCAAGTCAATGTTACCGGTCAAAGTACTGTGAAGAGGCTCCCAGTCTTGTAGAAGCGTACTGGTCAGGTCGACTTCCGGCACCGAACGCGCGGTCTCCAGCTCAGTCTTGGCGAGCAGGTCGAGAGACTCCTCCAGGACGGAGCTCTCCAGGTCTGGGATTTTGACCATGGTGCTTGAGATGGTGGTCGTGGAGAGAGTGGGGCCGGTGCAGGAGAAGATAGAGTTGGAAGCTGAGGTGAAGGTGGATTGGCTGGAGGTACTTGTCTGTGTCTGGGAGCATGGCCGAGTGGTCAAGCAGGAGTGGCCAGAAGACACTGTGGTCATAGGGAAATCCATCTCCAGCTCAGATGGGATTTTGCAGATTGGTTGATGAGCAGCCAGAATGAATTCTAGTCTCTCTTTTTCTTTCTGGAGATTGGCAATATCATTTTGCAGGCTAGACTTCTCATCCTCCAGCTCATCGGTTTCCTGTAGACAAGAGAAAATATGGAAAATGATTATTAGTATTATTAAGTGACGCAAGGGAAGACTGTTTCTAATTCAAATTATGATGGTAAATGGATACTTACAGCTTGGAGGGTGTCTGTAAGTTCTCGCCTCCTGTTGCGGCACTTTGCGGCCGCCTGCTTGTTTCTCTCTCTGCGGATTCTGCGTTTCTCATCCTCTTCAGGTGCAATCTGTTTAGGTGAAGAAAAATAAAGTTAAAACTCCACTTTCAAACTTCAAAGTTAAAAAAAACCGTTTGAAATCATTATAGTCATTGTGTTTACCTGTTCATGTCTGCTTCTTTTGGAGTGAGTCTTCGTAGTTGGCCTCATTGGGTAAGCTGGGCTTGGGCTTGAACTGTATGGGTGAGATCTGTGAGAGGGGGCCACTGAAGAGATCAAAGGCTGGACCATCCACTGCAAGTCTGGACTTGTTGAGATAGCAGTGACAGTCGGGATGAAGGCACTTGTCAGCTCAGTGAAATCCTGGGGAAATGAAAGAGAAAGACCCATGAGTAAATCTGATAAGGAGAATGGAGAGCAGTGCTGAGTGCTTCGTAATATGTTTATTAAAAGCCTGATGGGTTAAAAATACCCCTATGATGTCAACAATGACGTTACACACACTCTATGGCTCTCGAAGTGTGTTCAGGGGAATGAATGGAGACGAAATAATAGTTACAGTGCTATTAAGATCATTACAGTAAGATATTATAACGAAAAAAATATGTTTATCTTGGTATCCTGTAGCAATGGAATATTTATAGCTGTTTAAAAAGTACGGGCTAAGAACAATAACAATTGAGAAAAATGGTTTAAAACGGACTCACCTGAGACTGGGGAGATCCCATGCTGGAGTACGATCCTGCTGGTGACGGAAAGTAGTTGTCAGTCGCGGGTGAAGCTGTGCTGCAGCGAGAGGAGGAATCACACTCCGTGTTAAAAGCGGTGAACATCATTGCTTCCTCCAAATGGTTTGTATCCAACAAAGTACTTTTGCAAGACAGCAAAAAAGCAGATTTAAATTCCAAAGGCACGCTTGAACTGTACTTTCAAGCTTCAGATGAAATGTCGCCTTGGTCCTTCTCGGTAAAAAGTTTGACTGCCAACTCTGTCTGCTCGCAGGGTTTTTATGGTCGCTGACAAGCCTAACGCAATGACGTAGATAAAGGGGTGCGCCATTACGCGACAACCGGAGGTGCAAACTTATCTACCAATGATTAAACAACGCAATATAGTATACAATTCAAATTTAGATTTAATTAAAAAACACTAGTATTTGTAGCTAAATACAAACACGAACATAAAAACAGTAATAACACTCAGACGCGTTTGTTTTAGAATAGTAACCCTCAACAAATGGAATGTTCCAGACGGGATCCCCAGTACGTCATCCTCCAAATATGGTTTATCCTGTAGAGGGGCGGGCCCTGCTGGGAAATAGACCAGATTGGCCGACAGCGACAACAACAAACACTGAAGCCGTCGTGAAAAGAAGGTTTACATAGGAAAAAGCATTTCCCACAAGGAGAATAAAATAAAAAAAAAATACGTGTAACTTTATCATAGAATTATTATTATTGTAGTAGTCTGAATAATAGAATGGTGGTGTTGATTTGATTGTGTAATATTATGCCCGTTGAAACCTAAATTTGCCCGTTGAAATCAAATTTAATTTAAACACCCAAATGTATTAGGTTTATGCAAACTTAATTTAAATTGAGGAAAAAGCAGAAAACAAGACTTAAGCTACCCCTGAATTGGTTTGGGATTTGTATGCTAAAAGTTGAGCGTGACAAGTCAAGCTCAGTGGATTGCAGCATGCTTTCCTCCCACACCACGGGCAATCCTTGTATTAGGGGTGTGTTCAGTCGTTCGACAAGTTCATGATGTCTGTGTGCTTTTCTGGTTGTTTGCTTACTGAGTGTCTTTTCCCATGACTGAGGGAAACCCAGTGTCATTTCACTAGTTACACAATAAACTGTTTGTCTAAAACCAGACCTAAAACTATTGTGCCAAAGTTCACTAAACTAACTCATAAGATAGTGTTTGGTCCCGCCTGGCTGTTTTGTTCAACATTCCTGGTAGGCATAGCAACACTCCACCCCTTTAGAGCAGTGACGTCAGTTTATGCACAGTAACAAAGATTGTTTGTGAAAAAGAAACATTGCTTTAAGCTTCAGATTGTCTGAAGTAGTTGCCTTTAAGCAGTTAGTCCTCTCTATTTCTTTAAAGATCTAGCACTACCTTTGACTGGAGTAAGGAACCAAATGAGGAAGCCAGCCTGGCAAAATTGAGACAGAAGAAAGTGTTCGGTTGGAATGAATGCCACCATGAGAATATAATTGTTTAATGCTGTTAAAGTTATGTTGTAGAAACAAAGACTGAGGTTTTGCTTTATGGGTGATCACGATCTCTCACTGAAACAGAAAACATGGAAACAACTTCAACAAACCTTTTGATATAAAATGGTGATTTCAACCAAATTCACTCATAATCTTTCTCTCCTTCCACAATGGATCTCTTACAATCTAAATAAAAGTCCACAATAGACATGCCAGTAAAGCGCAGGGGGTGGGACTGCCGGGAATGCGAGGGGAGTAGGGGTCCATTCATTCATGTTTCACATGACTGACCTGAAACCATTCTGCTAAATATAGATCCCAAAAGGGTCTACGCAAATCAGACCTGGAGGCAAGTTATGAGATTAATTGCAACTCAATAATGAATATAATAATTACTTGAACATTTCATAAACAGACATGATCCCCTTTTGGAAAATAAGTTGCCTAGTTAGTATAAATAATGATTACTTACTTACTTACTTACTTACTTAAATAAAGTATTATTAATTATTTTATGGTATACAAATATATACTCTTTTGGTGTATTTATGTAATCTATAATGGATTTTTAGGTGTGCATTGAGACCATTATCAATTTGTGAAGACATCCTGCCTATCATAACTATGCAGACGACACTCAGATCTATGTCTCACTGACTGCAGGAGAACATGGACCAGTGGACTCACTCCTTCACTGTATCCAACAGATCAGTGAGTGGATGCAAAACAACTTCCTTCAGCTAAACGCAGACAAAACTGAAATGATTGTCTTTGGTCCCCAGAAACAAAGAGAGAGCGTCATCTGTCACCTACAGTCTCTCTCCCTAAAACCTTCAAACAAGGTCAGAAATCTAGGGGTAATACTGGACTCAGACTTAAATTTTAATAGCCACATCAAATCAGTAACATCAGCAGCTTTTTACCATCTAAAAAACATTGCCAGGATCAAAAACATAGTGTCTAAAGCAGACTTGGAGATTCTTATCCATGCATTTGTCTCCAGTAGGTTAGACTACTGCAATGGCCTGCTCACAGGTCTGTCCAAACAGGCTGTAAAACAGCTGCAGTACATTCAAAATGCAGCAGCTCGAGTCCTGACTAGAACCAGGAAGTACGACCATATTAGTCCGGTCCTCAGGTCTCTGCACTGGCTTCCTGTGGCTCAGAGAATAGACTTTAAAACAGCTCTGCTTGTGTACAAGTCTCTCCATGGCCTCGCACCAAAATATATTAGTGACATGTTAGTCCCATATGAACCAGCCCGGACTCTGAGGAGCACAGGGACTGGACTCCTGTTAGTGCCCAGAGTCAGAACTAAACATGGGGAGGCTGCTTTTCAGATTCATGCTGCTAAAATCTGGAACAGTCTTCCTGGAGATGTGAGACAGGCCTCCTCTCTGACAATGTTTAAAACCAGGTTAAAGACAGTTCTGTTTAGCTGTGCATACAACTGAGGGATTTTATATTTGTATCTTTCTTTTTAATGTTCTGTGATTATTTATGATTTTAATGCTTTCTTGTTTTGTTCAGCACTTTGAATTGCCTTGTGTATGAATTGTGCTATATAAATAAACTTGCCTTGCCTTGCCTTGCCTTTTAACTTAAGCTTTCTCAGGTGATAACCAGATTTAGACCCCTCTTAACACATTATCTTGTATTTTGAGGGCCACAAGTAAAGATTTGTATCTATTCGTTCTATTCATTACTGCCTTACATAAACACCATACATATTTTTTTGAGTTTGGTAATGATACATTGAGTCATGCTTGAGAGACACTGAATTGACAATTTGATTCAAAATCCTGAATATTCATGTTAATTCAGGATTGAACCAGGATATATTATTCTTCTTTCATTGCTCTCTCTACTGGCCTCTCAAGTGACTGACAGGGTCGCCATGGATACTCAAACAACGTGGGTGGAGCTAAGCAGAGATCTATGGGGGCTATGCATGGATCTTGTTGAGACGTAATAGATCTATGAGGCACGGTGGATGAGTGGGTAGCGCTCATACCTCATAGCAAGAAGATTGAAATCCCAGTTTTCATGTTTCTCCCCATGTCTGAGTGGGTTTCATATGTGCCCATATAAATGTGCTCATCCAGTTTCCACCCACAGGAACAATGCATTGTTACAGCCAAAGATGCAACTGACACGACACATACAGAATTATAGGAAAAGCTAATTCTCAACTCCTGTTCCTGGGTGAGCTTTTCCCTACAAATGTCATAAAAAACACATTTACAACAGTGCACCAACATTCCCATATTCTCACACACACACACACACACACAATTGCACACTACCCTGATATGTACTGTATTTCAGGTCATTGGGCAGTGAGTTCCACAGTTTGGCATCAAGAGAGAAAGCAGACTGTCCAAACGTGGTTATGCGGTGGGGGACTGCACCATAATATGTAAAATCCTCAAGATTTGGTACTCAAACAGAACATCAAAATCTAGAGATGAAGCTCGAAGCTCAACCATTCTGTCGAGAACCCTGATGCTACAGTGGCAGTGTGTAACATTCTGGAGGTGGATCTAAGCCGTTAAAAGGTATACTGTGTAGTTTTATTCCCATCTAGAGAGATAATAAAACATTCAAACTTATGCTGTTGATAAACTGTATTCTAGCGATTGTTGATTGTTTGCGGGGAATTCTGTGTGTTTTATTTGATGCTTGTACCCTGAAAAGTTTAGTTGAAACTTGTGACATAATAGTTGGACAGCGCTCAGAGCAGGTCAGAACATCCTGAGACCCGTGTTGCAAATTCTGCCTCGTTCTCATTTCTGACGAAGAACTCTCCTTTAATGCTTATATAAACCAAGCAACTAAAACAGCATATTTCCTTTTTATTTTATTTCACATTTATTTAACCAGGAAAGTTGAGATTAAGAACCTCTTTTTCAAGGGAGTTCCACTTGCGGAACATCGCTAAAATCAGGAATATTCTTCCTAAAAGTGACGCGGAAAAACTAATCCACGCCTTTGTCACCTCAAGGCTCGGCTACTGTAACGCTTTGCTGGCAGCGTGCCCTAACACCTCTTTGAAGAGCTTCCAGCTTGTTCAAAATACCTCAGCAAGAATCTTAACAGGCACCAAAAGGAGGGAGCACATAACTCCGGTGTTAAAATCACTCCACTGGCTTCCTGTGGAGTAAAGAATAAAGTTTAAAATTCTTCTCTTGGCAAACAAAGCCATAAATGTCTTGGAGATAGGCAGGAGCCAAGCCATGTTAATGTCTTATCAACCAAGCCGAACGCTGCGCTCGCAAAACGCCAGACGTCTGGTGGTCCCTAAGGTTTCAAAAGCACTGTCGGCGGCAGAGCATATAGCTACCAAGCTCCTTTACTGTGGAATCAGCTCCCCATGCATGTTAAGGAAGCAGACACAGTCTCTACATTTAAGGCCAGGCTTAAAACACTCTTTTTCAATTTAGCATGTGTTTGTCCGGACAGGTTTTGTCCGGTCTTGGAGTCTGCGTATATGGGACCCGGTCCACTGAATCTTCAGTCCCTACGTGCTAGGCTAGGCTAAAACAGTCCCCTTTAGTATAGCATATGGTTAGTAAGGTAAGACTCAGGGAAGGCTAAACTCCTCAGACTGTCAGTCAAGCTGCATAGGGAGTCAGTTTGCTGGGAGAAGTATAGTAACTGAAGCACTATCCTCTCCTCCTTCCTACTTTATCTGTTTCGCATTATTAGGATTTTGACTGTAGTTTGTTCATTGTTATTCACCCGTTATCCCATCGTCTGTTCCATGGTACGATGACGGGATCTCTGACCCTGGCCCCCTCCATCTACACCTGCGGACTGCCCCGCCCGACCCGCCTGGGAGTGCTTCAGTCCTGCACCGGACCTGTCCACTTTCAACGACCGCTGGTCGTCAATGGTTTTGTTAAGCCCTCTGAGATGACCTCTGTTGTGATTTAGGGCAATACAAGAATAAATTGTATTGTATTGTAAATTTCTCCATTGTGAGATCAATGAACTTTATCTTATTGTTCACGTGTGCACGTGCTGTTGTGTACAAACTACAGCCATGTGCCTCGTATGGTTTTAACTCTGCCTTTCAGTGAGTCTGGTTTGCGATGTTGACACTTTTGCTGTCACAACTGGTGTATAATTATTTTTATGCATAATTATTTTTCTAACCTTTAAAAAAAAAAATCATATTATGGAGGACCACAGCTATGTAAAGGAACTATAGTTCTTTAAAATAACTATAGTCCTTTTACACAACTGCGGTCCTCCATGATACATTTTTCCAACTTGTCAGGGTACGGTGGAAGCAGTGATATTAGTAGCACCTGTGAAACAAAAAAGCAATTCTCGCATCCTTTTTGTCCCTTATAAACCAATGTATTTCAAGGTGGCACATTGACATGATAGTACTCAGCTCTCATGGACAATTATAAGTCAATATCCAAGCCTATGACGACAATCCAAAACATGGTGGAGGTAAATATCCTTAAAAAGGTCACATTTGTTAAATAAACATGTTTTTCATTTGGAGACACTGTAAAAATGTACTTTAAAACTGTACTGTTTACCATTCACAATTAACATACATTATGCTTAGCCTGCCAAGCTATTAAATAACATTATGCTTTCACATTATTATGTTGACTGTTTCTTTTTTGCTTTTGGACCAATTTTGAGTTGAGATGAAAATCTAATATATGATATCACTGCCGTTTATATAATGGATGTAAAAGATATAGGATAAATACATGGATTCAATATCAATCCAAATATATCAAAATAACAATTGTCAAAACATCCCCATATGAATGTAAAAAATATGAATCATTGTAAAATGACAAGTTTTACTTATGCGTAACAATCCATGGATCTGGCGCCCCTTTCTGAATTGTATTCACCGGAAATTCCATAAATGGTACATGGGGATATGTCACGATTAATTTCTAAATATTCTATATAATTATGCTGGAGTGATAAAAACCATTTCGATCTCGTGTATTGTATTTTCTTTATTGTCATTATTATGTTTAACTTAAGGTATACATGACTTCAAGTTAAATGCATATATGCATGCAGACTACATTACATTTATTAATAATGTAATCTACAGTAATGGGGCTGCCCTAAAGCTCATCTGCAGAACAACGACAACAGCAACAATAATAACAATACAAATAAAAATGACGGTATTATGGATTGTGGGTACATTGAGAACACACTGTATCCTGCAGCCTGTGATGCAGATGCTGCATATATGACGTGACGAAGCTAAGGTATCTTCAAGATGGGAAGCTCTAGACATGAGTAAATTAGTGGAAATGGTTATAAACCTGCAGTGACTCGTCATTTTGAAAACAAAACAAACGCAATTCTCCATTGATAACTTTGCTCAAAAATGTGCATATATTGTTAAGGAAACCTGAACGTTTGTTGTTCGTCCATTTCATCCCCCCCTTTATGAAATGGTTTAGTCTCCCCACACCGATTTCATTCATAAAAATTCGTCTCACTATTAGTCTCCTCACTATCTCCACGGTGTCAAGAGCCAGGCAGACAATTAACAGAGCAGTACGCATACAAGGACTTTCTGCAGCACATTAAGCCTCTATCAAGTGACATATGCCGACGTTTTAAACAAAGACAATTTCAAATGCAGTCAATGGCAAAGATCATGCGTAACGACCCGTGCCCCGAATTTGACTCGTCGTCCAGCTGCAGCGCAGCATCTTCGGACGTGGACTCCCCTGAGTGCAACCAGCCTGAAGACCTTTCATCAGAAAACATAGAGGTAGGTACAACACCCGTGTTACCACGTCTTTACATGGGGTTCAAGACTTTCGCACTAATGTGTACAAAATAAATATTTATGGGCGGAAAGCAGTTATTCCGATCTGGTTTTACCCAATTCATGCGTAAAATAATTCTACTTTGACACGTGTAGATTTTGGCTCGATACAAGTGATTCTCATCGAATATCGCAAAAGCGAGTGATTTTTACCATAATTTTGACAGACATACAGGTAGTTGACCAATTGGATGACAGTCGTAATTCACTGTACATGTCTATATTTATAGGAGGACACAAACAGCGGGACAGACTCGGTCGTACCCACAGCCCGGGCATTCTCGACCCGGGCCGAAGACAATCCCTACGGCGCCACCCGGCTGTCCTCCTCTGCAGGTGCATCCAAGGCTAAGGTCTCCAAGAAGACAAAGAAAGAGCAGGTACAGTCAAATACGTCACTCATGGGCATGTTTTTTACTGGACTTTTGTGTGAATACATATTTTATGTATAATAATGATGCATGAATGCAATGTTTGTGATTAGTGCAGTGTTAACCTATTCTTTGCTGATTCTGACAAATAATCTGTCTGTAATGGCACAAGACACATGAATGCATGCATATTTTCACGTCACAACAGTAATGCCTATATATTTGTCTTAACAGATTTTGTGTTGAGTTAATGTTAATATCAAGATCAATAATTGATCGTTATTGTAGATTTCCAAGGAAGAGGAGGAACGAAGACGGATCAGGAGAGAAAGAAACAAAATTGCTGCAGCAAAATGTCGCAACAGACGGAAAGAACTTATAGATACCCTCCAAGCAGTAAGTGTCCCTAGAATCACATTCCCATAATAAAACTCAAATATGGATTCCATTGGCTGATGTTGTCTGTCCACAGGAAACAGACCTGCTGGAAGACGAGAAGACGGGGCTGCAGACAGAGATAGCGGATCTACTGAAGGAGAAGGAGAGACTTGAACAGATTTTAGGATCTCATCGATCTCCATGCAAGCGGCCTGTGGACGAAAACAGTGAGGAAGAACCTGAAGACTGTCTGAGCTCTCCACAGCCACAATCCTTTGCAGACAAAGCAAAATGTTCTAAAAATAACGGGGTCAGTGTCCCTTGTAGCCCCTCATCTGCCATTTTAGGGAACTCCAACATCCTCTTGTGTTCCAGCACAGATGAAGATCTTGACGATTTGAAGGGAGATGATTTGGATGACCTTGTGCCCACTTTAGAGATGGAGGTAATGCCAGAAACCATAGCGTCAGTGCCTGACATAGATATGGGCTCTCCATTCTGTCAGTCAGATTGGGAAACCCTGTATAAGTCCGTGGCCAATGACTTAGAATCTCTCAGCACACCAATTATGTCTTCCAGTCCCACATGTAGCAGTTACCACTCCGTGTTTTCCTTTAATTACTCTGAGATTGTTTCGTTGACTGAGGACGGTGAGAATCTTAAAGCAGGAGAATCTGATTTAATGAAAGGTCTTCACTCCCCAACATTGCTCACTTTGTAAGCCTAAGATTATACAGCATGTAAATAGATTCCAACCAGCAAACAAGGTTGTGTCATATTTAGATTCTGTGCAGATAACCATTGAATTAAGACAATTGTATGGTTGTTATGGTAACCAGGTTGATCTCTTCCACCACACTGGTATAATGCAGTTTGTACTTTAAACAATGCATGCACACATGTCTTTGCCAAAATGAATATCATCATTACAAAATAAGTGGAAGTTATGCGATGTCCTTGTAGTGTGATCGTTGTCAATCCTCTGTGTACTGTTTTTATTTGTCTGGACTATTTGTCATGTGTAATTGATATATTGTCTTCAATGTATATGGAACCATTTATTTTTTTATTGAAAGAATATTATGCACACCAAGATTCAGCAAGGAAAATGACTATTAAAAATCTACAGCAAGAATAAAGTATTATTATTACTGGAACTTGTTGGTCAGAGAAAGGTTGCAAAAGGGTGCAATCCCCCTTCAAAAAGGTGAAATTGGGAAGACTACACTACAGTGGCCATAATTAAATGTTTAGAAATGGCCCAAACACAAGGACAAGAAGGATTATAGCGTCCTCTTCAGTGCCTATACAGAGATATTAAAATAGATCCATGCTACAGACGTCGCTGTGCGTATTGCGCATGTGAGGACGGGAATTACATAAAAAGCTTCGTGGCGAGTGTCAAATGAGTGGGAGCCACAGATACAGAGGGCCAATTATTTATTCATAGCTTGCCTCTGGCTTCACGTCACGGTCAAGGGAATCCGACTACAGCAGAGCAGGACGTACACTGCGTGACGCCACCACGCAGTAGAACGTATCACTTCCTCTGCCCATATTTGGAACGTGGAGAAAAGCAGTTGTTTTGTTTCCATAGCAACGGGTGTCGTATTTCGGGATTGGGAGATGTCGGGAAAAAGAAGACAAAAGAGAAGCGGCTTAAATGTGTAAATATAACCAGGCTGCAAGTGAATATAGCCATAGGTGCTTTACCATCGCTTCTGCGTACTGTATTCTTTCGGCAAACATCGCATGCATTCAGCTTCACGTGATTCCAAAAGGTTCTCAATGAGTCTAAACGAGACAATTGTGCACAATGTAGTAATGTAGATTTCAAAATAAGATAATCTGATGGTCTTTACTCGCCGTCAGAGCCAGCGCGGAGGTAGTCAGCGTTTCAAAGTAACATTGCACATTGTTAATCCAAATTTCTCCAGCAGAGGGAGCTAGTTCAATGCAGTCCATGCCCTGGTATAACCTGAAATATTAAAAGGTCGATAGTTTCGTTTCTCACAACCAATTTGCTTAACAATACTTGCATACACACATCATTTTGCCCCTGTAAATAATACATCATGACTCACCAGAAATGAGCTATTAATTCAAACAAGAACACATGCAAGAACACAACAAGGTGTTGTAGTGATTTAATTTTGGCTCTAACTACAACATCTTGTTGTCTTATTATTAATTATTCAATGAGAATGGAGTGTAAAAACGTCTACAGTTGAAATTTTCCTATGATAGCATACACACATGACATTACTAAATATGATTAAACTACAAAGGGGAAGGAATGGAATACAGTCTTGGGTCTGCTGGATGAATGAGTCAGGACAATGTCTGGGTGTCAGGGTATTTCCAGACCATATCAAAATTAAAATTTTCCTATTTAAAGAACACCAACTTCCTAAAGATGAAAATGACACAAACTGTGGGGCACCACCTGCAAGTCTTTAACTTTACTTTATCTATCTCTTTTTCAGAAGAGTCCTGGTTTCAACTTTTTAAGAGGAATAGGAATCAGGAGCACCAGGAGGAAACCTATGCAGACACAGAAAGAACATGCAAACTTAGTGCAAATACTGCAAACCTTTCTGCTGCAATGCGAGGCTCTAACTGTGCCACATATATTTAATAACTTATAAGCAATTATTTGACCAGGATCCGAAGACATATTTTGGTTGAAAAGGCTTCTATTATGTTTGGGGTTTTGAAATCTTTGTTATGTTTGTGGAGTGTATTCACCCTCCTCCTGCCAATCTTTACAGAAGTTAAATTGGAGAAAATGGTCATGGAAGAAGTAATTTGATATAGTAGATGATCCAGATGACCTAGTGCCAGATTGTTTTTTTTTATTTAAGAAATGCAACTGAGACTCTTGGCAGAAGTTTGTACAATTTGAATGTTCTAGTTTCACAATATTCATATTTAGAAAAAATAGCAATTTTTTCCCCCATATTGTTATTATTCCAGATATTGCATTTGTACAATGAGAAGCGTTGTGGGTTGGTGTGAGTATATATGGTTTAATACATATGAATAAAAAATTCGGTTTACTAATGACGTCTAAAAGTTCTTATCCTCCTTCCTAGAGGTAAGTCCTCCATTTTCTTATGTATTTTCCATTCATAATAAACCCTCTGCCGCTCTGTTTTTATAATTGTTGTAGATTTTCTTCCTTGGAATTATGTTAGCCATATAGAGATCAAAATAATTTGGTCAAATAGCTGAAAGGTTTGATCAAATAAAGGTTGGTGCTTTTATTATTTTTGTAGATCTGGAGCGGTATATTTAGTTTTAGACTGAGTCTCAACAATAAAAAACACTCAGTGATAGAATATAATTTGCATAAAAATAAACAGAGGTTATTTACAGAGACACATTAGTCTGGCTTACAATAGCTTCTCTCCTCGTGTGTATGTTTTGGTTGCTATGGGTGGAGCCTATTCTTGCATTATTTTGATCCACGCTTACGTCTGCCACAGAAGTTCCGCATTCCTCAGCTCTCATAGACCTTGTAGAAGGCATGAGCAGCAGCAGCAGCAGGAGCAGGAGCAGCAGGAGTACTGCTTCTTAAAAGGCTGATGCAACGATCTCTGCCAGCACCAAAAACACGTCCACAAGCCACAAGCTCCCGCGGGGTTTGGACGCACTACAGGTAACATGCGCTCATTACAACATCATGCACCAGCAGCTCCTGACTCAAACTAGTAAGATCTAGGGCAACACATCTACATTCGTTTCCACACTTATTCTAGCTTGGTCTTACTATACCACATTGTACTCATTTTATTGGAGAGAAATAGTAATTGATCGGAGTTTACGGATGGGCCAGGCTACTCTTGTATGTACAACTTTTACAAAACTTTTAATTGACTCTTTCTCATACTGCTACTCATGATTGCGTAGTTGTTCCATTTGTTTAGCAGCTGTGCGCAGATTGTGATTGTTTTTGTCTGGTTACGAGGGGCGAACATTGTTGTTACGTAACGCTACACACGAGACATGCCGTAAGAGTTCTACTCAGGGCTGCTCATGTTGATCAGTTGTTTATATTATGCAAGGATTATTGTGGACAGTCTGTGCCAATTCTACGACATGTGTTAATGCAAACCCTGCTCTGTTGTAGTTGGGCACTGGCCGTTGTTCTTTATCATGTGTTAAGTTGCTTTCACGGTAAGTTGGTGGTTGTGAGGCTTCGATAATAACGTTAAATCACTATTATTGAGGGAATGAACGAGAGCACGCAATATGTAAGTGTTAATGCAGCAGTGAGTGAGACTAAGCATGCAGAACATAAACACCGGATCACATTTTACAGGAAAGGTTGCAGGTTGCATAATACTGTGTTTTGACTCAGCGTGTTGTTCATTATTGCTAGTTTGTGTTCCCCATTCAGAATATATGATGGACGTCTTCTCTTTGTTCCTAACAGTTTGCAGGTCCAGCACCCTGAATACATGTAACCTGTTTAAATGCTCAGAGCCCAGAGCCTCCCTGGGCACATCCAAGCATGGTCTGTGCATACATGGAACGCTGCAGCGGATTAATAGAAAAGGGCTGGTACTTCGTGGTGAAGAGCCTTTGGGGTTGAGAGGCTGGACGTGGGCTCACAGGGTTTATTTTAAGTAGAAATGCCTTCCAGTGTGTCTCTGGAGAGCGGGAATTGCCAAGCTACACCCCAGTACACCGAATAGACAGCAGTCGCATTGCAGCCGAGCCAACTATGCAACAACCAGCTCTGTGATTCTAATAGTAATTCTGGGGGTATCACATTATCAGCTCCAGATTGTCCTACTCATAAGTTTTTCCACATGGCCTGTAAAAACATGGTTAATGTAGACTAGAAATGTGCTATGTAGCCCAAATGCCCTGAGCTGTAACTGAGAAGTGAACTAATTTTTCTTTTTTAAATCAAGAAAAAGCTCAGATTCAAATAAATAACTACATTGAAAAAAGTTATGCCAAGTTCTACAGCACTTTGTTATTGTATGCAATGCGTGAATTAATTTTATCCCAACACAAATTTCCGCTTGATGACAAGTTTATCTCACCGTGGACATATCAAAATGGTCTTGGTTTATATTTCAGGGTCCCGGATGTGTAATGCAAAGCCTTATAATTGTTTGAATATTGCAGACAAGACCACCCAGAGGTACAGATGTGACTTGGATTCATGCCAACAATCACAGACATTTGAACAAGAACTGCGACAGCACAGATGCTGTGAGCATTTCTGTAGGTGTAATGTCTGGAGAAGCAATAGAAATATTATTCTTACACAGACTCAGAAGTAGCGTTCTTGTTTATTTGTGTTACTTTTGTCTAGTTAGAAACATAGTCATCACTCTTTTCCATGGGTATATCATACATGTATGTCATTCCCACTGTACACAACTGATCAAAACATTCTTTAATATTTTAAAGATATCTATTGACTGGGAAAACTTGACTTGGGAAAACTGTCATTTCTGACCGATTAAGTCTAACATGCAGAAAAACAGAAATCCCTGAATCAGTCACAACTCCCTCATAGTATGGAATATTATTTGCACATGGTTATAAGTCGGGAGGCACTTTTGTGGCTTTTATGATCTCAAATACAGCTCCGCCAGAACTTCCCCCTCTCCTGTTACAGATTTTCAGATTGCCACAATCTGATCTATTTTCTGACCTGAACATTCTGGCTAGGATGTTTACTCATTTGTTTGTGTCACTTGTTTGTTACATTATTAAGGTAATACATAATATTAACAATAATACAGCAAACTTATATGGTGCTTTTTGGGACACTCAAATACGCTTTACAGGGTAAAATTGTTAGGTAAGAGAAGTGTAAGATAACTGTTATATTGCAGTTTTTCTTTGCTTATGTGACCAACATTCATGCACAGAATATGTTGCATGAATGAGGAATGTTTAAAAAAGTTCTTGGGCCTCATAAATTTGCATTTACAGTCATTGGATATCCAGCATGCTTGTTGGATCAACTTGAGTGGGACCTTGGAACAGTTCAGCCGCTGTCTGAGCCATGCTCTGCCTCTGTGAGCGCTGACGGTGGTTCTTCAGGCTCTGAACGACACATGTTTATGTGTTTGAATGTTTGTACTTATCACGAAAGGGAACCTTATAGGAACACTACATTTGAAAAATGTATCACTTTTGTGCGTTTGGACTTCTCTGTCCTTGTGAAAGAGATGCCAAACTCCATAGTTTCCTGGAAGTGGTGAAAGTTTTTGCAGTCTGACCAAGTGCAGACGATAATGATGATCACTGAGACCTTGGTCAGAAATGGAAAAAGCAGGTTTTGGCTTTCAATGTTAACTTAAGTCATAGGGCCACTTTATTTAACCAGTCTCTTTCAGGGGCCAAAAACCACAATTGTAAAACCTTGTGACTAGATTCAGGCTTTTCAGAGCTTTAAGATGAGGTATGATGTCATGTCCAAATGGATTCACATTTGACAGAGCAGAAGTTGGCGGAATTACATTATTTACATTTTTCAGTAGCTACATTACCGTACATTTTGTGCAACAACTTGTGGCCTGAGGACTACATGCGGCCATGCCATATTCATGTTTTGATGCAGCCCTTTCCCATCTGTTAACATATTTGAAGTAGAAAAACACTCCCAGAGCGCAAACCTCCACCAAGATTCACAGTTCCACTCGTACAGTGTGTAAACACCGTGGTGAGGGCAGGAGCAGAGGCAATGGGGAAACTGCAGTACGTCTTCTGGACTGATCACTGTGACACACACGAGCCACAAAAGTTTTAATAAAATTAACCGTCATGCTATACGTTTTTGCACACTTTTTCAATGGGCACACTGAGTTTGAGGACAATATCTCATGAAATCGCACAGTGTATATCCAGCTTAAATTAGTAATGCAAGAGCAACTAAATACATGTAAGAAACATACTAAAAGTTATAAAAAAGACTGAATAGGCTCAGCGGAAATATGGTGTGTAGATGGAATGTGCCGGTAGGAACGGCAATCCCTGCCCCTGGTTGGCTCTGTGCTCCTGTTTGGTTGTAACTGAAATTACCTATTGTTCAGGACTTTATTGAAGGATCTCCTTTCCCGCCAATTGTCTCACCTGCACATCCTAATGCCCAAAACCTTTTCCTCATGGTGTGTGCCATGATAAAAATACTAGATCTGGAAACATTTGGCTTAAGTATTCGTTGGTAAAAACTGTCCATTTTCTACAGGAATGATAATGGGGCAAGGGGCTGAATTCCTTCGTTGTGTTAATTGGGCTCAGGAAATGGAGCGTATTAGTGCATCTGAAGACTGATAGAGTGTGTCAGCAGAGGAAGCAGAGGATTGCGGATTTATGTGAGGCCGGTGGACTGATATACAGAAGGCCTTCTCTTCTCTCAGCTCTCTGAAGCTCAGACAGAGTGTTGGTTGGTTTTGGGCTGATGCCAGTACCTGCATTCTGCACTATATTTCATTGCTAATAAATCACATTTCCGCTCCCCACCCTATGTCTTGCATGTCTTCTTGCCACTTCTGAAAAGGCAGCAGGACCACTGTAAGGGTCTTTGTTTAAACTGCATATTGGCCACAGGCAGGTGAGATGTACATTTGTGTGTAACATTATATATATATATATATATATATATATATATATATATATATATATATATATATATAATAATTACACAGGCCAGTGGCCACTACAAGTTGTTTAGCTTATTTACCTGCTTGCTAAGCATGGTGGCACAGTGGTTAGCAGTCATAAAAGCAAGTCCTGGGTTCGATTCCTCCTGGGGTGGCCTTTCTGTGTGGAGTTTTCATGTCTGCGTAGGTTTCCTCCGGTTGCTGCGGTTTCCCTCTTCAACTAAAACATGTACAATAGTTCAGGAGTGAATTAATATTAGTGGCACGTTTCTACATGGCTGACTTGATCAAAAATATAATGCATCCATGGACTTAATCTACTGACTTTCAGTGAAACGTGTTACCGTTGTCAGCCATGGGCATAGTATGCTATGATAGCTCCTATTTCCACAAGGAGGTATTCAGTAAGAGCAAAGGTCATTTGCTGAACATGAACATGACTATAACATGCTTGAAGGGGTTTTCATACGTCCTTGTTGATGCATGTCTGGACATTAATACTTTGCTTTTTGAATCCATTTTCTGCACTACATTCACAACACCAGTCTGGGATTCTCCAAACTTGTTTTCCTTCTCAGCAAAAATACTGATCATGTACATGAACATATAGAAAAAGGACTGGAGGCTAGGAGCACAACATGCAAATTCATTATTTGACAATGCATGCCATATTTTTGGGTGGGAACATTTCAGATGACTGCTGTGGTACCACTTCTGATTGGTGTTTTGACATGTTAAGAACATTTGGACCCCTGCCTATAAACAGGGTGGAGTAAATGAAAATAGGCTTATATAATACTGCTTGCTGTATGAGATTGGACTGCTTTGCTTGCCTCTATTTTTGCAGTAAACAGATGCAGAGGCAGAGAAACTTTGAATACAGTCAGGTCGTCAGCTAACTACCTACCAGCAGAGTCAGCTGTTTTACAGACCTTCACAATGCATGTCTTTGTGGGTTACATATGAGAGTGAGAGGGGCTTTTGTATGTCTGCTCCAACCTGCCTAACCTCCAGGTGGAGAAAAAACAACATTGAAGCTTTGGGTTATTGATACTCATTGTTAATTTACAGTAATGCATCTGTAAAAAGCAAGCCATTCCTTTTCTTGGTCTATGAACATTTTGTACACAATGACTAATTTGATCATTGTCTGTAGAGCTGTGCCAAAAAGCAAAAGATCGATTTCAATCTCAACTCTCTAACTAGTAAACCTTGCTGCTTTGAGGAAACGCCAGTGATTAACTTATTAATTAACCAAGAATCAAGAGTCATAGTGTGCATAGGCACGAGCACACATAACGAATAGAACAAATAAAAAATTGTGAACAATCAATATGATTATCAAATTGCAAAAATGGCAATGCTCGTCCTTCACAGTTGATTTTGATTTGACAAAATGAGGTTGCACTGTTCTTTGATGGTAGTCTTAATTGTACAACTTCCTTGTGGACTGCTGTTTCTGCTTTTCTTCCTGGTTCTCATTCCTCTCTGATTGCGTTAAAAGACCTGTGGTCAAAGCCTTAAATACTTTAAATAGTTGAGTCTGAGGTAAAAAGGGTCTTTGCCGGTTCTTTTGCCACTTTTGTGTATTTTATTGTACCAGGAAAAACGTAAAGAACATATTGTTATTCACATTGTTTGCCTGGGTAATAATTGAAGTGAATGTGTGCACATATACAGTATATACACTATATTTACTATATTTGTGCACCTCAAAGAAGTTTACCCACATGTTTTTTCCCCTTCTAGAGTTAGTGTTGTCGCAGTAGGACATGATGCCAGGACAGATTCCTGACCCTGCTCTGGCAGCAGGCTCCCTCCCAGGTCTGGGACTGGTGGGCATCTCAGCCACCACACTCGCCAACCAACTCAAGCTAGCGGACTACCACCAGCTGGGGTCAATGCTGTCCCCCCTGCACTTCCTGGGTCGCCTGGGGAAGAGGCCACTGCTCATTAAGACTGAGGTGAGAAGGCCTTTGACGATAGAAACAAATAAACATGAGAGTGGCATGACATGTAATAATCATGGAAGATAAATCATTTCAGATGGATGAAGACGAGGACAGAAGGAAAAGACGAAGAGAGAAAAACAAGGTCGCAGCTGCACGCTGTAGAAACAAAAAGAAGGAACGGACAGACTTCCTTCAGCGGGTGAGGAATTGAGACAAATTTGTACTGACGTGCAAGATGCAACTTCAGGAATGTGATGGTAACTTACTGTTAAAACATTTACAAAAAGTTACCGGTCTGTCCAGGAATCAGAACGTCTAGAGATGGTGAACTCTGAGCTCAAGGCTCAGATCGAAGAACTCCGGCACGAGAGGCAGCAACTCATGGTGATGCTCAATCTGCACCGGCCCACCTGCATAGTGAGGACAGACAGTGTGAAAACACCAGAGGATGAGGCCAACCCTTTGCTAGAGCAGTTCTGATCTGGACGATCTGGACATTAATATCTGTAAAGCACTTGAGCTCTGGGCTGGACACCTTGGAGACCTGCAGGAATAGCAAAAGGAGCTGGTTCTTCTGCACAAAATGTCTGGGAACATTTTCTGTGCCAAGTTGAACCTCTTTGGAAAGGGACCAATGGAATCATGGGAAGCCGCAGTAAAGACATTTAACATCAACACCTTTTCAAAAACCCTTTGTATTATGGCACTAACGTGATCATTCTTTATCTATGCCTGAACAGTGGCAGGTACAGGTAGAACTTCTGGTGATGCTGGCGTCCTACTAAAAGCACATATTGGTAAATTGTTTACAACTTTTTTGAAATGTATTTTATACTGTTTTGTATTGATAAAGATTTATAACATTTGAAGTGAATGATCTTGAAATTTGTATTTGCGAATATCATTTGAGAATAGACAAAAATGTGCATGCAGCTTAACCAATTGCGCCATCTTGTGGATTTGGTGAATATTGTACACTTCATGAACGTTCATCATCGTCCAGTGTTGGACCAATATCCGACGAACAGCACAAGTTTACACTGAGTGAATGGCCGTTACTCGCGAGTCAGAGCAGTTAAAAAACACTTTCAAAAGTAAACAGCCAACGGGCACTTACACTTTCATTCATTTCGGTCAGCCACGGGAAAAAAACAACACTAAAGTAAGTAATTAAAGGTCAATTACTTAACTACAGTGGGCATTTTTTCTAAAGATAAACTAGCGAAATTAAACTCGGATACAATGTCTTCAAAATGTTTAGAATTTGGTCGGTGACCTGTGCTTCTACGTTTGTACAATCTACTTATGAGTTAACTAAGTTGGCTAAGTTATCTAGTCAGCTTAAGTTTGTTTTGTGTTTGGTCTGCCCACACCATGATAAACATGTTTATAGAGGATGGAGCCGCAGACAGAGGATCACAGCGGCAGTGAGTTTGACACGGATTTAGAAGAGAGCGACCCGCCCCCAGGTAACATGGTCATGGATGTGTTTATTATTAACACTGCATCAGATGCGTTCAATAAGCCAACATAATTATGTATGGCATCCGAGATGGAATCACGTTATGGGATATGCCATGATGATCATGTCCTCCTTTCTGTTAGTGTGCCCCAGGGCAGCTCTGGCCACAATAGTAGTCTACCACCCCCGTGTGAAACAATAATGACATGTTATTATTGTTGACTCATGTCTTTGAGTGTCCAAAAAAGTGCAGTATGAAACCAATGCTTAACCAATGCTTTTGGCTGGATTAAGAAACTCATGTTACTGCTGCTACCGCTGACTAACGTGGACCTCTAGTGCCCCCTAGTGGTAAACTCTGCAGCTCCGTTGGCACCTAAAGAGTTCATCTGTTGTATAATAAAGGTGGGAAAAAAAAGTTTGTTTCTGTAATTCAACCTAAAATGTGAAATCCATGTGTGATATAAAATTATTACATGCAAGTGTTATAATCTTGATAATGGATTACAGTTCATTTTCAAAATATTCTAATGTTTTATTTAATTAATTTTTTCAAGCTGTGAGCCATAATTATCAATATAACAACTTGAAAAGGCTTTATGAATCTAGTCTGTCATGTATTAGTTTCACAGTTGAATTACAATAAATAGACCTGTATAGGGTTAGGGTTGCATTTTCTGTGTTCAAACCGTTACTCTGATCTGTGTTAGCGAATCAATAACTTTGCATACAAAAATGTCAAAATAGAATTAAAAATGAACTGTACAGCCAACACCATTGAAATGAAAGGGGGGACAAATCCTCAAAGACCTACATGACACAAAGAACCTGAAACACACAAGTGGTAATGTTAATCACAAAAAGCCACAAATAACAATCATTATAAAATAAAATATATAAAACAAGATGAAGGGGTTCAGACTCAATGATGAGCGTCTATTCAACGTATTTCTTTCAGATGAACAATACCCATTTCTTCACGCCTGGACCACGGAAGCTGTATCTATGCATTATAACAATCATCGAGGAGACTGTCTCAATATGAATCATTTTGGACTGGGGCCTCAGGGGGCGAAAGCTTTGGCCAAGATTCTGAAAGTAGGGATTTTGCATTGAAAACATAATTACAATATTCTTGATTTGGTATTTACTTCTTTTTCTTTTGAGACTGACAGTAACATCACCACCCTTGAACTGGAGGACAACAATCTGCAGACAAAAGGAACAGACTATGTGGCAGACATGCTGCAGATAAACTCTAACATCAGCAGTCTTGTAATAACATTAGGCCACATATATGAACATTATAACAGCCTTATTAACCATCTCCATCCTGTGTGTGTCTGTTAGAATCTCTCCAAAAATGACTTGTGTTCTGAGGGGGCGCAAATCATCTCGAAAATTATGTTAGACAACTATCATGTCAAATGCATGAGACTTTCTGGTAAATTAATGATCATGAAAACATTTTGATTATAAATGCCATATTTAAACGCGTGTCCTGTTTGGCTTTTTACAGGAAATGGATTTGATGATGTTTCTGCTAAATATTTGGCCGACGCTTTAAAGGTTTGATGTATTGACTCCGAAATACATCAAGTCTCACCTGACATTTTCTCTCTGTAACCAGGGCGACTACGTCATACGAGAGCTCGATCTCAGTCACAACAAGTTCTCTACGATTGCAGGGGGACATCTGGGTCAAATGATAGGTACGATACTGCCGTGCAATATGGTCAAATGCCTTCACGTTTGTCTTGTGAAATCATAAAGACTATAGTGACACTAAAAAGTCATTCGTTACTTAAGGTGTAAATTTGGGCATCGAGGTTTTAAATCTGAGCTGGAATAATATCAATATGAAAGGAGCAGTGGCGCTGTGTTCAGGGCTGAAGGTAACTACATCTCTTCGGCTAATAATTATACATTTGTCTAACTAAAGTCGTTTTTACAGATCAATTCAACTCTAAAACACCTCTTTTTGGCTGCCAATGGATTTTCCAGTTATGTAGCAGAGGCCTTAAGTCAGACCCTAAAGGTGAACAGTACCTTGGTTTCCTTGGACCTCAGTTATAACCTCATGGATGACCTTGCTGTAAGCTTGCTTTGCCCTGGTCTGGCTGTGAACGGCACTTTGAAGGTGCTTAAGGTAAGAGCAGTGACAAGGCACAAGACAGGATGTAACAATTAACAATAAGGATCAGGGTATTGCATAGTGACACCAAATAAACCTGAACTTTCTTCCAATTCAGCCCTTTATCTTTAGCTGAGCAGTTTTCATTATGTATTCAGAAGGTATGTCGAGAGCAGACTTAGAGATTCTTATTCTTGCATTTGTCTCCAGTAGGTTAGACTGCTGTAGCGGCCTGTTCTCCAAACAAGTTTTAAAACAGCATTCAAAACGATGCAGCTCGAGTCCTGACTAGAACCAGGAAGTACGATCACATTAGTCCAGTTCTCAGGTCTCTGCACTGGTTTCTTGTGGCTCAGATAAGACTTTAAAACAGCCGTTTGTTGCAATTCTCTCCATGGCCTCGCACCAAAGTACATCTGTGTTTAATTACAAACCACTCCCAACCCTTTAACAACTCTCACATGCGATTAAAAAGTTATAAAGATCAATGTGTCTTATTTTCTTTGTTTTGAATACATTTTCCACAGCTTCCCTACAACACCATTTCATCTGCTGGAGCTCTCACTCTCCTCAAAGCGGTTGACAAAAGCACAGGGACTGGACTGGAGGACATAGATATATCTGTGAGTACATTTCCATCAATCACATGTCGACTGTTGTTCTGTCATCCTCTTTAACACACGACAACAGACAGTCGTCGTCTGTGAGGCGTTCTTGCAGCTGCTTGGATCCGTTCAGAGGAAGTTCCCAAAGTTATCTGTCCAATACACTGCTCTGCCAGACGTCACAGAGAGAGTGTCTGCCCTCCCTCTCTTTAAGGTCAGCGTCACCAGGAAAATAACATGTTAAAATAACCATGTCTCTAACGGTAACAGGTGGTATATACTTTACTCACTGTGTCCCAGACCCTCGTGCTGCTAAAATGCTAAAATGTGCAGATTTTTACTTGTTCCTTATTATTCTAAAGTCAGGGTTTTTGTACTTAGGTCTTGCTTCTTCATCTTGCTAAAGTTGGATTTTATACTACTTTTTTGTTGTTGCTAGAGTTAGAATTTTTTTTGTATAGAGTTATTATTAGTTTATCTTCTGCTCCTCATTCCTACTGTTCTGAAACTTCAACTTGCAACACTGAAATTTCCCTTGCTGTGGAATGAATAAAGGATCTCTTAATCTCAATCGTAACTACAGAAACATCTCCAAGAGAACATGGAATCCCTCATGGAGTATTTCCGGGCCGTGGATAAGGACGGAACAATGAAGATCTCCACAGTAGACTTCAGAAACATAACGGTTTGGTCGTTTTTTTTACAAAGGACGCTGTAACCAATTATAATAAAATCCTGTTTTTTTTCCTGCAGTCTGCTGAAATGCCACTGACACCAAATCAACTTGAATGGTTAGTTAAAACTTTTGACAGTCAGTGCACGGCCACTATCAACTACAGGTAACTCATAAATGTGTGCAATCTGTCTCACTCTAATGGAAAGGTAATGTGTGTTTTCTTTTGCAGCCAGTTTTACAAAATGGTGTAATTACAGCAATTAAAAAGCTTTTTGCAAACATTAGTTCAATGCATCATGCTTTTACTGACTCTGAGGAGCACAGGGACTGACCTCCTGCTTGTGCCCAGAGTCAGAACTAAACATAGGGAGGCAGAATTTCAGATTTATGAAGCTAAAATCTGGAACAGTCTTCCTGAAGATGTGACAGTGTACGAATCCAGTTAAAAAAGTTCTGTTTAGCCGTGCATACAACTCAGGGGTTTTATCTTTACTCTTCCTTGTGTGATTGCTTTGATCTTATTTTGTGCAGCACTTTGAGTTGCCTTGTGTATGAATTGTGCTATAAAAATAAATACCGTCTTGTTACCGTTGGCCATGCCTTTCAGGGAGCCTACTTGAACCCTGACACGAGCAGCTGGTCCAGTCTCATTCAATTCCACCAAAATAATCTTCAGGTATGACAACAGGAGGACCAAGAAAAGCAGAACTGGCATAGATATCAAAGGCCCACGGAGGAGGAGAATAGGACCAGATGCAGCCTGTTGTTGCCTCATTAGTCATGTGTAATGAATGAAATACGGTAGTTTACAAAAAGAAAATGGCTATAAATATGTGCATATGCAACATTACTTATACAGTGTGATCAAGAGGGCGAGTTCGCTCATTGTTCATTTATTATAAATCAATTGCAATGTTTTCCTGTGGACCTGGCATCTTGAGGTAATGGGACTGGGACCGACACAAAATGGATCAGGTGGTTGTTGATAGAGCGGAGACAAATGATGAATTCCTAATGGTTATATGGTAATCAATAATCATGATTCTTGATATTGCAGGGTTGATACTAATTGGAAGTCCTTATTATTGTTTTGTCCTTGATTTTCTCATTTAAAAAGTCAGTATTTGCAAGACTTTGAGCTCTTAATTATACGGTTGAGTAAATATAATTGTAAATAATTGTATATTAAGTATCAAAAACAAAATAAAATCCTTTAATGTGTGGTATAATAACACTTTCCAATTGCTAATAGGTATTATTTTACCTTAGAAAGCACAGATACGCTATAAAACACATCTTATGGAGCAGTAAAACCAAGATTTAAAGGCAAAGCCAAAAACCTGACAACATCCCCTTGAGATGTGGATGGTCCTACTGGTACATTGTGGCAATTAGCATCATTAATGAAAAGCTTAAGAGGTAATACAAGTAAATAATTAAATTAACCAACCATCCAAACATCAAGGCCCATTACAGCCCAGCGTTCTCATGTAAATATGTGGCTTTGGTTCTCGGATGAAGTATGCTTCTCCACAAATTTGTTGTTGAGACATTTGTGTAGGTGCTGGCAAAGAAACAAAGACAAACATGGGAAGCTATTGTCCTCTTGTGATTATGAAAGTAAACAGCCACACTGAAGAGGTCTCTGCACAGCTGCACACACTCAAGCGTGTACTTATGAAGAGGGAGAGGAGGGAGAAAGCAGCCCTCAAGACTTGGTCCAGGATGATGCCATTATGGAGGGCTTCTCAACAGCCACGGCACCAAAGGATGATGGGTAATGACACTTAAAGCAGCATCAAGCTTTGGCAGAGAAACTGGAGCATTGTTCACCAAAAAGTTATCGAAAGATGACATGGCTTACGCTACACAAAGTCCAGAAAGTAACACTTTTAAATGTATACGACAAATATTTGTGAACACGGATGAAATGGGACAGTTTTCTGCATGAAATTGGAGCCCTGCCAACCCAAGGACTACCATCCCATACAAATGTTTGCTCCAAAACTATTATAGTTTTCAGCGAGATTTTAAACCTAAATTAAGTTCAGTAAACATATTACTATTGCTAGTCTAGACTGGCCAAAGTACAACATCCCTGGGTCGGAATCTCCCATGTCCATATAAAACTATATACAGTAAGCGTTTTTAACTTTGTAGAGTTACAGCAAAATTAAAAGTTTTTTATGTATATTGGGCATGTTTTAGTAGGCAACCTCTCTTTGCAAATTTACAACTAGGAAATTATATTTAAAAAAATTGGCCAAATTGCAATAAAATCTGTCACATGCAGCAGTGAATAAACGGGATCCAAAGATTGACACTTTCTGATAGTGACATTACATAGTCTGTAATTCAGAAACTGTTTTATATTAGAGTTAATCAACACTAAAACTGCAAATACAAATACAAACATTTACATTTTTTGGATGCACAGTACAAAAGCGAAGGCTTCTCACTAACATGTAAAAAGCTTCTTCAGCTGCTGACACTAATTGCATGTGTAATTAGAACACAATGCTGAAAAGATAAAAACAAACATTCACGGCGAAAGTGAATTTTGGGACTGGGTGGAGGTTTATTTCCACGCCCCCTGGTCTTTGATGTCCTTAGTATATGAAGAGGTCTGCATCAGTAACAGGTCTGCATCAGGGGCAAAACATCACACAGGTATGCCACTTTACATGGTTATTTCTACTATTTTATTCCGGGTATAATACTTAAATATTCAAGACTTTGACGAAAGAAACATGTTAGGAGTGCATTTTTACGTTTAAAGGTGACAGCATGTAACTTTACTGGTACATGGTCCTCCATCAGCTGTGCAAATATTTGGAATATGTCACAAAGAGGTATTGAAGTTGCATGCAGCACTGACCAATAGGCATCACTCAGGCTTTATATTGATAGACATATTTTTTAAGGGAAATATATTTACATATTGATAAGAGGCAAAACAATGATGTAAAAAAATAAAAGGGCAATATGTACCAAATGTTTTTTTTTTTTTTCAGGATCCAGAAATGATTCCAAACTCGTGGAGCAAAGACTTGTACTGCTCAAATTTGTGTCTGGAGGGATGCGTCGCCAAAGCCTCTCCATTTCACCCAAGTCCCAAGGTAGATGCGCCAGACCTGTATCTCGGAGAGAAAGAAGCAGTCTCGCGTCTGATCCACTTCCCCGTGCGAAGGCTGAGGAGGAAATCTAAAGGGGCCAGAGCAGACGCCATCGTGAAAGACTCTGAGGCAAACGCTCAAGAGATTCTACCAGAAGGCACGAATACTAGTACAACCCTACAACCAAGTCCTTACCAGCTGGAGATGTTCAGACTACAGAACCAGTACCAGCACTGGGAGCAGGTCCAAGTGAAAGAAGCATCAAACCGGAGAAGTCCAGGTGCAAATATGTGGGGTACCTCTCCAAAACTGCTCCAAAATACATGCATAGATTTGCCACATGAAGTTAAAAATCCGCAGTGCAAAGTTGATATCAAACTAATGGCAGATGTTTTAAAATGTGAACTTTCTAAAGCCTTGAGCAGCAGCGTGGACACCATTTTCAAAACCGAACAAGAACCACGTCTGTATCATCCATACTTTTCTCCTTACGCCGGCGTGACGTACCCCACGTTTCAGACCGACGCCATCTCCCTCGTGGTTCACAAGGATAGATCTGTGCCCATCTCGCCATACTCTAGCGATGCAAATGATCTGAACCAAGGTACCAAGATGTCTGCAAAAAGTCAGCAGAAGAGTGATGTGGAAAACTGGCAACAGCAAATGGTCGACAAGTCCTGGTATGTTCTGAAACAAAAGTCAAAACTGGATGCTGTGAACCACACAAAAAGTTTACCCATTTCTCGTGTGAGGCATCTGGGAGCGTCCGGCGGAGTCTACAGCCTCAATGTATCCTTATAATGACAACCTCTGTAATGTATTGTAATGTCGTCTCTTTCTCAAACTAGTCTCCGATTCTAGAACATGTATGACGTTATCAGTCATGGCTTTCATTAGTTTAAAGGTGACGTACCTAACTTTAACATGTGTCAGCAACAGAATTGCATCTTTAATAAATCTTTTGCAAGTAAGATTTTGTGAAAACTCAGACCAGAACGTCCATCTGATTAGAAAACATGTTATCTTTTGCGTATATGTAAAGTAGAGCCTCTGGAGTCACAATTTGACGTTTTGGGTAGAGTCTTTTTCATTTTTCTGTCTGAAATATCTGATCTAAAAATGTGACAGAGGCTGCAGATGCATGCTAAAACTATAGTGATAGAAGTAAACTGTTTAAAAACTATTTATTTCATAGTTAATTTTTGAGGTTGAAAAGTTATGTACCTCAGCTTTAAAGGCTATCGTTGTGTTGTACATTTCCTTTAACATTTTCAACAGGAAGGGCTGACTACAAACCACCTGAAGAAAGCCAAGCTCATGTTCTTTTACACACGCTACCCGAGCTCCCATGTGCTGAAGATGTGTTTCTCCGATGTGCAGGTACGACAATAACAGAAGAGAAAGCCCCCGGGACACACACACTACGATTACACAACATGACAACGTTCAGAATTAACGACAACACAACAGTTTGGTGGCGATAACTTTTTATTTATGAGTTCAAGAATAATACATTGCTTTTTATAATCAGGGAAGTATTAGGTTTAGTCAAATGAGTGATGTATGTCGGTCGGTAGAAAATCATTGTCTAATATGAATGGGAGATTTTATGAGAACTAAATGAACTCTTTCCTCACGCTTTTGTGGTAAAATAATAATTCAAATTACACAACATGTAGGAACAAAGATGTCCGAGGTGTTTCTGAGGCTGAATGAAGTTTATTCATTAGTATGGATAGGTTGCGTTCAGAGTTTTGTTACAGCGGGAGGGGTGGAGCAACAGAAAGCAATTTTTTAAAGAAAATGCCAAAATGGTTTCCCAGATGGTTTGACCGTGATCAGATTCACAAACCCTTCATATTACACCTTATGTCTGAAAGTCCATTGGTAAAAGCCAACGTTATGGTTTTGGAATATTGTGACCACTTCTAGACACCGTTATGAGAAAAAAATTAGACCATAGTCTAATCATCACGCTTTTCTTCACGCTTTTCTTCATGTTTCACACTCAATCCTATACACATGTGTGATATTAATGTGTATGATACACCACACAACAATCAAAGCTTGTGAGATTAGAGCCATCTCTTGTATAGAGGTGACGTCACCTCGACTCAAACGAGCTGATCCAGAGAAGAGTCTGCTCCTCTGCCTGTGAGCCCGCCTCCCCCCGCCCGTACGGTGACGTAGCATCACGCTTTTGTCGTTAATCACCTGTACTTAGTAATTTCATACATAAGAATAAACTTTTTCCAACAATGACAATCCGTCACATCGAGCCCTATGTCCTCGATGCACAATCAGACCCTAGTTATTTAGTTTACAGAAGTATACAGCGAGTTAGCGTCACTACTTACAGATCGAGGGGGTCCGAGTTACGTCTTTTACCGTGGGAATAACGTGTTTCCAGATCAGCTTTTGAGTAAGTCCAGTTCCATTGTCTCTGTAGTTCTGGAACAGTCTCAGTGAAGTGTCGCAGATGAACCGGTATTATAATAGATCCATGAGATGAACAGATGAAAAAAGTCGAGGCGCTTTCTTCCTCTTCGGGCCAAATAGTGTGTCACATATTTACACCCATAACACACTTCATTCAAATTGACGTGATCCTAACACTTTTAGTTGCTGACAAAAGCATAAAAACAGCAGCTCTATGTGGTGTCCGGAGACCAAGCCACAGACGCTGGACTCGGGAGCCGGGCGCTCTGATTCGCTGTTTTGATCCGTCAATCACCTCCCGCCGGCTTTTAATTTATTTTTATTTTTATTATTTTTGACAAAAAACAGCATACTAATTGTGTATTGTTTACCCCGTTTTGACAAAAGTATTTAACAACTATTTTAAATACAAAGCAAACGGGGTCATGCGCGTCATCAGTGTGGTTTTTGTCACTGAAGTGGACCCGAGCGTTTCTGTGCCTCACGCTGGGGAAGGAGACAGATTGCTCTCTTACAAAAGATTGACAGAATCAATGAATAAACTACTGTGGGCTTGTGTATGAAGGCCAAATAGCATTGTAATCATGTTTAAAGCAGAGAAAAGTCAAAAACCGTGATATGGGCCCTTTAATCAAGTCGTTTTTAATCTTAATTTGAGACCATTCAGACCATCTTAAAACAAGATTTGCCAATATACATTTTGTCAAGTTTTAGCAATTTTAGAGTCATTTTTTCATGACTTTTTGCAGTGTATATTTGAGTTTAAGCTTAATCCACTGCTTCCTCTTACCCTGCACATAGGCTTACCCGTTTATACTTTCCCCTTGTTTAGTTCACGCGCTGCATCACGTCTCAGCTCATCAAGTGGTTCAGCAACTTCAGGGAGTTCTTCTACATCCAGATGGAGAAGAGTGTGCGGCAGGTCGTCCTCCAGGGAGAGCCCGACGGAGACACGCTGACTGTGGGCAGAGAATCACAGCTTTTCAGAGTCCTCAACATGCACTTCAACAAGACCACCCACTTCCAGGTAAAAATAAATAAATAAAATATAAACATAAGAAATCTATAACTCTATATAAGCAATCTTTCATTTCATTTTCCGTCCGTCCGTCCGTCCGTTTTCCTCCGCTTTATCCGTTGCCGGGTCGCGGGGGCAGCAGTCTAAGCAGAGACGCCCAGACTTCCCTATCCACACACACTTCCTCCAGCTCGTCCGGGGGGACCCCAAGGCGTTCCCAGGCCAGCTGAGAGACATAGTCCCTCCAGCGTGTCCTAGGTCTTCCCCGGGGCCTCCTCACGGTGGGACGTGCCCGGAACACCTCCCCAGGGAGGCATGCCTCCAGGAGGCATCCGGAACAGATGCCCGAGCCACCTCAACTGGTTCCTCTCGATGTGGAGTAGCAGCGGCTCTACTCCGAGCTCCTCCCGTGTGACCGAGCTCCTCACCCTATCTCTAAGGGAGCGCCCAGCCACTCTGCGGAGGAAGCTCATTTCGACCGCTTGTATCCGCGATCTCGTTCTTTCGGTCATTACCCACAGCTCATGACCATAGGTGAGGGAGGGAACGAAGATTGACCGGTAAATTGAGAGCTTTGCCTTTCGGCTCAGCTCCCTCTTCACCACGACGGTCCGATACAGAGACCGCATCACTGCGCACGCTCCACCGATCCGCCTGTCAATCTCACGCTCCATTCTTCCCTCACTCGTGAACAAGACCCCGAGATACTTTAACTCCTCCACTTGAGGAAGGGCCTCTCCACCCACCTGGAGAGGGCAAGGCACCTTTTTCCGGTCGAGCACCATGGCCTCGGATTTGGAGGTGCTGATTCTCATCCCAGCCGCTTCACACTCGGCTGCAAACCGTCCCAGTGCATGTTGTAGGTCCTTGTTTGTTGGAGCCAACAGGACAACATCGTCCGCAAACAGCAGAGATGAAATCCTGTGGTCCCCGAACCGGACTCCCTCCGGGCCCTGGCTGCGCCTAGAAATTCTGTCCATGAATACAGTGAACACAACCGGTGACACAGGGCAGCCCTGGCAGAGGCCAACATGCACCGGGAACAGGTCTGACTGACTGCCGGCAATGCGCACGCAGCTCTGGCTCCGGTCATACAGGGACCGAACGGCCCTCAGCAGAGGACCCCGGACCCCGTACTCCCGGAGAACCCCCCAAAGAACACCCCGGGGAACACGGTCGAACGCCTTCTCCAAATCCACAAAGCACATGTGGACAGGTTGGGCGAACTCCCATGAACCCTCGAGTATCCGATGGAGAGTATAGAGCTGGTCCAGTGTTCCGCGGCCGGAACATTTCATTTTTTAAATTCATTTAAGAACAAATGCAACAACAGCATTTACTATGAATGAAAAGGAGCAGAAAGAAGTAAAAACTTATAATATCTGCCCCCTATCAACACAAAATCTTTTACAGTTCCAGTGCATTTGAGCCTCTAATGCAACTCTGGCAATTCCAAACTCAAAACTCAAAATAAAGGTTACTGATCCACAGTGATGTATTTCTGCAACAGCAATAATTTTACAGACTTTTTAAACACAAAATTGGACGAAGAAGTTTTGATTTTACGCTCGAGACTGTTCCACAGATCGACTCCTTTGATTGAGATACATTTTTCCTTTACAGACGATTGAAACCTGGGTTTATTAATCTCTATAGAATTTAGTTTATATAAATTCATGAGATATTGTGTGTGGTTTACATTGAAAAGATATATAACTCATAGAATTCAAGGTTCAAACAAAATAAAAGTATGAAGAAAACAAACAGCCACTTTTATATTGTCGAAAGAGTGATTTCCAACTTTTTACACTTTATTTGACTTGGCAGGTCTGAAAAAGATACAGTTCACTCTGACAGCAACACTATGTGGAGATTACGAACAATAACTTGCACTTGTTTTTGCTCTTTGTTGGTGTTTGTGCGATGTAAGTTATAGTCTAAGACGGGAGTTTTCCGTTTTTAAGTTATAATGACATCTCTCAGTTCTCAATATAAAAGCTTGGAGTCTGTGGTAGTGGTGAATGAGGTTCTCTATCCTCCATTGGTAAAGCTTCCCGTTCTTCTCGGCAAAAAAAGCCTTCAGTTGCTGTAAATTCCCAGGTCTTCCCCTGCCTTCCATGCATATTTTAATTAGAAAATAGAAAAAAATAAATGACTTCAAACAACCATTTACAATAGGTGAAAGAATGTCTGTGTTGATAGTGAATAAATAATAGTTAAATCTCTGGCTGGGTGTGTAAGCTTTCAAGCACAACTGTAATGTCATTTTGTCACACAATTTGTTGGGACCTAAAATCTGTTGATGCTTTAGTCTTTTTGGTGAATGAAGTCCATGCTGCAGTTTTCACTCAAATATTTTAACTTTTAACACCAGCAGATCATGAATCAAAATTGTAAATATGTCACTAACAAAAATGTAGGAAACCTTTAATTTCACTGCAAGCTAAAAGTGTTTGTTTGCCAGTGGAACAGGCATATAAGACTAAAAGAAAGCCAACACCGTTTTAAAATCAGACGTACTGCTGTAAAATCAAATACAAATATATAAAAATGTAAATACAGTGTTCCTTTAAAACCAAAAGTCAAGACAGTGATACTCCTCAATTTCAGTTGGTTACAACACAAGTACAAACGGCTTACAGCAGCAAACCTTCTGTGCGATTAAGTATTGCAATTTCTTTCCGTGGAGGATGTGAATTTGTTCATCTTTTTGTGAGTAAAATGTTGATAAAACCGCGAGTGAAGCTGCTGGAGGACAGCTGAAGAGATGGGACACCTCAAACCGTTGAATAAACTTGATTAAAGTGTAATTTAAAAAAATTACCCTTTTTTTCAAAGGATGTTTTGCTAAAGACAAACTTCAGAGAAATCAATGCTATTTTAAAGTTAAATATAATATTGATCTTTTACAAATATTTTGAATGGTTCTTTGAGTGGTTTTGAGTGGTTATAAACGCATTTACTTAGTAGTCTCAGGTTTCAAGAAAAACTCAAGTCACTTAATTTGTTAAATGTTCAAATGGCATTAAAAAAAAAAACCAAAGGCTCACAAACAGAACCATCTACACACTCTCCTGCTTTAGGACACAGCATCACGTGGGTTTGTCCTTTCGTATTTGTTTGTCCACATTACTGACGCTTCATGCTGAAGTTGCGTCAGAAGGAGAGAACACTACAAAAAAAACAATTATCCATGGTTAGTTTTGTGGCTTTTGGATTCTTTTGTCATGACAAAAGAACATTTGTTCTTTTCATTTCTATTGTTGTAGAGTTTGACTTCATGTTTTTTGTCATGAAACAGTGGTCTTTTGGTTTGATTCACGCAACAGGAGAGAAGCTTCTTCCATCTTCTGTCAAAGCAAAGATGGACAGACCTCTCTGTCATACTCACCTCTTCCCCTGAGTCACTAAGCTCTGTGTGCAGGTGCCCGACAGGTTCCTGGAGGTTGCAGAGATTACACTGAGGGAGTTTTACGCAGCCATTTGTTTGGGGCGAGATCGAGACCCGTCCTGGAAAAAAGCCATCTACAGGGTGATCAGCAAACTGGACAGTGACGTCCCAGCACAGTTCATGTTGGCCTGACCCGTCCTTACGTTTGTAAAGGGTAGACATGCTTCTCTTCATGTGTGGGTATTGTGTCTTCATGTGAATGTTGCAGTTTCAGCTGAACAGGCCTGATTAAAGTGTTTTAATAATCATGTGTGAATTCATTACTAAGTAGATGTATCACATGAACTGGCACCAGTAGTGAAAATAGAAGGAAAGCTGGATTAAAAATTACGACAAAAGTGAATATTTTCAAGCAGAAGGTTTAGTAAGTAAGTAAGTAATCTTTATTTATATACCGCCTTTCACAGACCAGAGTCACAAAGCGGTTTACAATTGTTATTTTTGGGCGCTTGTCCTCTCACTCCACACAGAGATGGGAGCGGGGTCGCCGAACAGGAGGCGCATGCCAGACCTATTATACATATTTTTAGTGGTAGGGGAAACCGGAGTACCCAGAGGAAACCTACGTAGACACGGGGAGAACATGCAAACTCCACTCAGAAAGGCCCTGGTCCGACCAGGAATCGAACCCAGGACCTTCTTGGTGAGAGGCGAGAGCTATCCACTCAGCCACCGTGCCGCCCCGGCTTAGGTTTTTCATCTTTATTCATGGTATAAACATCCACTCATGGCGTTAGCTACCACCCTGGGACAGGCTGACGGCTGCATGAGCTCCTGAACCCAGGACACACAGGGACTGAGCTTCCCCCAAATTCTTTTTCTTTTTAATTTCCTGTAATTGAGATTAGTCTTCTCTTACGACATTTCAGGGCTCCACTGTTCCTTCTACATTCCCGAAAAAAAAAGTCCTATGAGGTTAATAAATTTGTAAACTTGTCAATGACACAAGCAGGTTTGGTCTTCATTCAAAGGCCGCAGCATTTATCCAACATTTAGGAGATAAATCTCTATTCTTTTGGTAAAACAAGACTTTTTTTCATTATCAAATCTCATTTCAAACCATGTCCAAAACAATGGAAACGAGATATTTGAAGTTGTTGATGCCCTGCTAAGGATTACCGTAAAAAAAATGTCAGCTTCTGAAGCAGTCACAGGGAAATGGGCAGATCTTTGGCACATTCTCACCGTCCTTTAACAGTGCAGTTTATGCACACTGTGGTCTTGACGTTGCTGATCATGCAAATATGTTTGAATCAGGAAGAGGGATAACTATTGCCACATCACATCAGGGTAAAACTGACCTCATGACGGTCTAAACCCAGATCACATTCCCCATTAGTGGGAACGAACATGTTTGTATGATCAGGAATTTCACCACAGCTCAAAGAATGTTCCAATACAAACACACTACTCACGCAATCCTGCAGCACAGTATTTATAGAAACTATTGTTTATTTATTTTTTTTTACACAAAGAATGGACAATAAATTCAAAGGATATGACAATCATGAGCACAATATTGAATCCACAAAAGAGAAAACATTTGTAAACTACAAAATATGTGAATACTTACAATAAAGTGCTACTGCATCTTCTGTTATATCCCGAGTCTTCTGGTTACATTCTCGTTTGCCTTTGGCTGAAAAGAGCCCATCGTCCTCAGGTTCAGCAGAGCAGCAGCTTCAGAAACGCTCTTCCACAAAGCACAGCTTCACCAAGCTCCCTCGGATCAATTCAGAATTCAGTTCGTCTTCAGCAAACGGTACAAACTGGTCACTTCTTAAAGCGTTCTTTTGACAATCAAGTTCTTCATTCCAAACACAACCATTGCCAATTTGTTTTCCATCAAATCAGTTTCAATTTTAACAAGGTGTGCCATTTAACTTCCCAGTGAGGCCACCTGCTTGTCTCCAAGGAGATGGAAAATACAAAATGGTATTAAACTAATTATCAAGTGTATGCGCGTACACAACATGCAGATGAAGTGTCACGGGACACAGTGCGTCAAGTGCTTTAGTAAAACTCTGAAGACAGTGGTGCAAAAACAGCAGATGCACTCAGACTTTGGTACAGGATTTATTTAGATCAGTGCTCCAAAATCCGTGTAATAGAAAGTACTTAAAACTAATGCTCAGAGTCCGGCTGGACCAATGTTATGAGACAATATATCTGTAACGACACAGTATCAGTACAATCTCATAAAAACAGAGAGCAACATTAAGTACATGTTTCATAATTGTGCCGTTTTTATTGTTTGTTGCAGGTATACATGTTTAGGAGACAGTGCAACAGGAATACAATTGCTAATATGAAATATAAAACATAAAAAATAGATGCAAGCCACATGACTGGAATAAACTAAACACAAATTCATATAACATTTAAAAACAAAATACATATTAAAGAATGTAACAATCACGAGGTACAGCAAGCTTCACGAGAGGGCAGCTTCAGTGTCGCCACGTGACCTAGAAACAGGTTTGAAGCATTAGCAGAGACATTAACATAACGATATACATCAGTTTATCACACACAGCTTTTTTATTTCACTGTATTCAATGATAATCAGCTGGAGCTAAATGCATGTTTGCTCCAGTTAACAAAAACTCGCACAAGGGTCGAGAAACATTCTTTGAGATCTTTTCACAGCCACTCGCTTAAGCCTAAACTTCTGAAATTGTAATAAAGTGTTCTATCAAAGGCTGGATGTCATGAAAGAGAACCCTTCCCCTACTTGAAAAAAGGGAGTGTATGGGGGAGGGACAAAATACTGCTGTAATGTAGAGCTAGAGAAATGCAATTCACAACTCTAAACAAGCTGTTCGACGCGCTAGTCTCTTTATCCATTCTGACGTTTTAGGAGCAAATCATAATACTAAAAATCTTACCATTAGAATTGCTAAAAGATGAACTCTTCAGAAATACTTTGTCCGGTTGAGCGCTTTCTGTGCCAGCTGCCCGCTGCCATCTGTGATTCGCTCCCAGTCTGTTTGACCAACCACAAAACCAATGGCTCGTTTCAGGTCCGTGTTCTTCTGCTCCTCAAGATCTGCCCATCGGACCTGAGGGACAGAAGCGTGTCCCATGTTTCTAATGCATTTCTCAAAAAAGCAATAATAGATTTTTGTGGCAAGTCAGTTTACCCTCTTCTTCCCAGGTTGAGACAGGCGAGTGGCGTAGTCGTCTGGCAGCTGGAGGAAGTCCTCTAACCCTGATGCACGTTTCCGCTTCCCGCCGATACTCAGGCCGTCCAACCGGTCTATTTAAGTGGATACAACCTTCATCCAAAACGCTGTCATAACGTTACATTTGATCACTGATAAATGTTCTGTCAGCTCAGTTTGTCAACTATGACTCAATAGAAAAATAGACGTAAAAATAATAGTTTTAGTTTATATTATGAAAATATTCTGCACAACTAAACGTTTTCCTTATTGGGATTCAGCTCAGTGCACACACAGACTGTATAGTCTGAGCTCAAAGCTGAGCTCAATAAAGAGGGAACTGCTACTACTCGCTCTGGTTCCTTGCAGGGAAAGGTAAACTCCCGTCACATTCACCATTATGAGCGCCCTCTGTGACTCTGGTGTTTATATTTTGATATCTTTGTAAAGCTTTATATGACCTATATATGACCTATATAAGGATTGCCTACTCAGATGCCTTTATTCTCAGGGGAAACTCCAGCTTGCCTTAGCAACCATCTTAGCAACACGTTTGGCCCATGTTACACTACAAGGCCAATGCCGTCGGGACAAAAAGGCTCATACGGAAATTAGCTGCATCTAGCTTATGTGCAAATCCGTTCCTACTGTATTCAGGAAACACTATGGATGATGTCAGTCCACTCCATATATACAAGGTCTGTGAGTGCACATCATTTGAGAGTACACTGAAGCCTTTGCTTCCTTTTCTCAGAACATACTCAATTTTGTGTTCAATCTAGGTGGATGGTGGACTGAGCTGATTGTAAAGATCATCATCATCTTTCAATTCAGATAATGCCAACTGAAAACATTTAAAATTTCTATTATGAAACAAAAATTAAGGGGGTCCAGAGTAAACGAAATATTTAAACTGGATTTCACATAATACTGAGTTTTGTAATGAGAATTTGATCATTTAAAATGATAATCCATACCAAGTTTTGCTTCAGAAGTGTCCATCTCCCATTTGCTTTTCGGAAGGTATCCCTATATTACATAAACAAACACTGAAACGTTAAGTGTCGAGATGTCGCTGGAACAAACAAACAGGAATGAAAGCTCTGAAAGAACATACATGCAGAATGACAACAGTAAAACATTGTACATCCATGATGAAAACTACGTTCAATTTGTCTCATCATTAATAAAAATATTTGAATACTTGACACGTTTAATGGCCAGGTTAGGCTTTTAATAAATACTACTTAAATAAAAAATTCCTGGACACTCAAAGATGGTTCACTTAGAATTATTCATTAACTCCATACAAAGCGGAGGCAAAAAAACAAGTCTATAGCCACAGCTGCCCTGGGGTAGACTGACAGAAGCCAGGCTAGTTGTCATTGGCCCCTACCAACCACCACCAGCCATTCACACACATCATACTAGGCAATCCGGTTGAAGCGTATATTGTGACCAAGAACACAATATTTTACAGCCAGCTGTGGCGCCTGATGTCCGCAGGTCTCACAGGTCTCACAGCATTACCAGGCCCTGCCCTGCTTAGCCTCTGAGGCCGGACAGGCTCGGGCTTTCAACATACAAGTGACTCCACGCAATTTCTCTTCAGATGCTTTTACTGACCACTAAAAAAGGGGAAATAATTTTTTGTTTACGTGCCTAAAATGTTCCCTCAACTCACTAAACTAGTCCTGAAGATCTGGTTGACAAAAATAAAACGAAAGTTATAATGAATTAGCAAAGCAGTGCTAATTAGCAAGAGATTATTCATTAGGGATTCATTCATTCAAATTGAATGTTTAGGACCTTTAAGGAACAGTGTATTTGTATCGATGTATACCTAGGCATTTCATGTTTTAGAAAGTTAAAACAATTGTTAAAAACAATAACCATAAGGATAAAATGTGTCGTGTACTACTGATGAGCAAGCATGTAATACCCACTTCTGCCACCAGAGGCAAGTGTTGAATTTCTTTTATAAAGAACATGGCCAAAAATAGCGATGGCCATGTGTGAAAATTGTGGGCAATGTTGATAACCGATGTTAATTTGCTGTTATGGCTTATACAGATAACTGATTTACCAATGTGGATATAAATTTAAAACTGCAGTCAGCACCTGCTTCATGTGACGTGTACATGTGACCCACACTCACAAATAAGCCCACATACATATTAGGGCTGAGCGATATAGGGAAAAAAGTATATATATATATATGATATTTATCACAATATTTTTTACAGGATAAATAAAATAATTGAAGAAATTATACATATTACCTTCTTTTCATTTAAAACTAAAACAACTATACTCAAGACAGTGCATATAGGAACAAACTGCTTCTGCAACATTTAAGATTAAAAAAATCCCTGATAACAGAGAGTAAGGGAAGTAAAATTTCCATTCAGCTGCAAGCCGCGCTCTCCACAGTGTACGGCTCTTAAGTCACACAGTAATGGCGACTCAATAATCTAGGTCTTAGGTGCCACGCCGACCACTATATGAAATGCCACGTACTCTAATGCTACACCACCTTGCACTTTTTTCACATTCTACACTTTAGTTTTGTTGCCTCCGAGCTAAGCGGGCGAAATGTTGAACGAGACAACACGCAAGAGGGGGGAAAGAAAAATAAAAAAATGAATCAAAATTCATAATTTTAAAAATCTCACGCACCCCTTATACACATCAAACACACTGGAATCATTATTGGCCTGTTCACATCAACCTGACAGATACCGGAAAATATAACAAAATGGCCATATCGGCCAATATATCGAGCATCATTAGCCAAAATTACAATTGACCAAAATTAGTACAGGAATTGACTGATTGAATCTAAACTAAAGTCAGGGTAAGGAAGGACTTGGATTGTAGACCGATGTATTAACCGATGCGCAATAAGTTTATTTTATTATTAAACGGTACTTCCGAATCGGCGAACACGCTCTGAGCAGTTGCATAAAGTCACGGGAGCATGAAAACGCATATGTTCACAAGCACAGAGTACATTGTCAACCCTGGTTTAAGTCCTGGTGTAGCTCCTATTTTGGTTGTTTACGAGTATGTTCAGTCTGCTCACTCAGTCCGCTAATGTCCCCGTGACCACTTTGCAGCTCTCTGATTGGTCGCTGCACGAACGTCCGAGGAAACATTCAGCAATGTTTATCTCCTGCGTGCGTCGATTTTCTGCTCCTGCACCTCCCCTTCGACTTTGCCGCGAAGTCCGTGCATTTCGAGACGCACATGCATTTGGACGCTCGAACGCGCATCACCATTGACTTTGCATTGAAAGCCGACGCAACACATGATCTGGTCTGAACGCGGCATATGACTGATAGATTTGCGCACGATGGACTGCCTCCACGCCAATCCAAATTCATCTGGTAAGTTGAGTATGGAATGAACTTTCGAGCCATGCTCTGAGTCAGGGCGGCACTGACAAACTTTGGATTCAACTAGAAGGGGCCACAATATCTTTTTGCAAACCTTTAACCACAAAACTCGTGTACTATAGTGGTGGTTTGCCAAGTGAGAAGCCGAAGGCAATATTGAGGTTTATCGGTGGGTTTCATTAGGATTGCGTGCATGCACTAAATTTCCACCAATGGAACCTCTTTAAGATTTTATAAATAAATATAAATTATCACACACACACATATTTATATGTATATAACATTACATAATAAAGAAAAGGTGGACTGAAACAGCAAAATCGTAATCTATTTATACCACATTCAAATATTTTTAACACAATATTTGATTATAAATGATTATTAAATAATAATTATACTATTATAAATGATCACAAACAGGTGTAGATAACGTATTTCTATGATCTGTATTGGATTTGGATTACATTTAAACCGATATTTATCATCAGTACTACCAGGTAATGTAGAGATAGATATTTGATATTGTTGTGCTGCAATTAATATTCACTTCCCCATTATGGGACGAATAAATGATCGATTGATCTTTATTTACTTTATTTAACCAGGAGAACCTCATTGAGATTAATGATTTCTTTTCAAGAGTGTCCTGGACAAGAGGCAACACATTCAAAACACATTCCCATTCTTGATCATGGATGGGAATAATGAGCAACCTAACACTGATGCCCTCTAGTGGACACCAAATGAATTGCAGTCAACTCTGTGGCTTGGGTGTGCAGTCAAGCACAACAGAATATTCAATACTACTTGGATAAGGGAGCTCAAAGTAAATGAATACATTACTTCAAATTCTCACTAAAAAAGAGAAATATGAACATGTTCTACATCAGTGTAGAAACTTTCTTATATATATTTTTTCCAAATTTTACATAACTTTCCTTTTGTAATTGCACATAGCACAAAAGAGATTTATTGCCACATCCAACACACAAACATCCACATGTCCAGCATCCAATTAAAGCATCCAAGCTGCAGTAAACATATGCTACATTGAACGTATTGTGCATCAAGAACGGTTTGAAGCAAACAACAATTTGTGGGTCTTTTAGACAAAGAATGCAGTTTGAAAGTCCCTTCAAGTATTCATGACCAACAGAATCTGACCCAACACTTAGTGAAAAAGGCTTTTTTAAAGACAAAAACATTGTAATAAATGGTCTGTAATTTATGAATGAAAAAGGTAAGGAATGTCCTACCCTCTCACTCTCCTCTTCATCCTTAGGTTGCTTGACTTCATCATCAGGATTAAAATCCTCCATCTCCACCTTTAATACAGGTTAAATCAAGAAATGACCATTTATATATACACACATATATACATAGATACTAGGGATCACTTCTGTTGCCCAGATTCACATTGTCCCTCCTTCACTTTGATTTGTGAAAACTATGCAACAACCAAAAACATTGTCTATCAAGAATAGACTAGTCTGCGCATACCAACACACAAAGACAAAAAAAAAAAAAAACTTACCTCCTCTATAGCTGCATCCTGCAGAATTGAACGGACATCAAGACACACCATATGAGTTGGGGATGGCTCCCAGGTGTTAGCCATCTGTGAAACAACCATTGTTAGTATCAATTAAAAGACATAAAACTTGGAAACTCTGACAAACCTTAGTTATATCCTTAAGTTTGCGTCCATGCACGTTTCTCTTTGCACACGTCTGAACATCAGCTGTGATTTCAGCAAGATATACCTTTAAAACAAAAAGAAATTAGCCCAAATTAAATAATCAAAACAATTCAAAGAAATACATCAAATTAAAGTCACACCTCAAACCCTTTCGTCTTTGCTGCACTCCAGAATTGGTCAAAGTGCCTCACTCTGTCATTAACTGTGTCCAATATGATGAATGGGAAAAAACCATCATCCAAAGTTTTCTTGAAAGTTTTCAGCATACTGCTTCGATAAGTTTCTTCCATTTCTGGTTCATATTCATATTCCAGAACCTAAAAACAAAGAGCATAATTGTTTAATATTTCTATATTTCCAAAGCAGCAAATTTTTCAAAGAAAAATTTAACTGCCCTTCGCTTAACTCTCTTTCCTGTATCAGGGTCTTTTTCAACTTTCTCCACTTCTGTCATGAAATAATCATCCAAAACAATCACCCGTGGAGGTGCACCTCCACAATGGACCTCTTTATCCTTAAAGAGAAAACGAGTTACAATCATAGAAGACATTCACACATTTTTAACATTCACTTACTCGAATGAGCTTCGCAACATGACTTTTTCCGCTTCCTGGGAGACCCCTCATTATGATGACAATCTATAAAAGCAAGTTTGTACCATTTTACTCAATTTAAAAATTGCAATATATATATATATAACTCAAGCATTCGATGGAATATCTTATATCCTAAAAAAAAAAAAAAAATCAATTACCCTATCAGGTCGAGTCAATCTTCCGGGCATTTTAAGGATATCATCAATGTTCTTCAATTCTGGTTTCTTATCGAGTCGAGTGGAAGGCGGGGCGGCTGGTGGCAGCGCTGGGGCAGCGGGAGGAGCTCTATCTTCATAACTTCTTCGTTCCACTGGAAATGACAATGAAAGTAAATGTTTTTGTTTTATAATGGAAACCACTTGGATGAGGGTATTCAAGGGGCATTCTTTGTACTTTATGATTCTTTGAAATAAATTATAAAGTACTCTAATCAGTTACTTGGGTCCCTGCTGTAACTTATTGTTACCTTGAGTGTACAGTGGCTCGTTACTTTGAACGCAGCAGTCATAGATCAGAGCTTTTTAGAGCTTTGGGATGTAAATAACATGGCAATGGACTAATGAGAAGCAGGAGGTCGTCGCCAAGTACTTTCCTCTTTTTTCAATGGGTCAAGAAATGCAGCTTGCGCCCGTTTCCTACCACAAGAAACTTGTTCTTTGTGGTTAAAACACATTTTAGCTACAGCGTAATAATGGGAGTAGAAGCAAACAATGTGAGGGGCACGATTGATGAGTTTATGACTGAAGTCATTCCTACTCGGGAAAATAGTTCTATACACTGTAAAAAGCAATAACAAACGCATGCAGAGAAAGATCGAATACAATCCAAATATAAGATCGATTAATATAAACTTTTTGTTTCATCCAATCCCTTTTAAAACCAAACCAAGGGACATTCAGAACAGGGAAAATGTGCTAATAATTGAGAATCAATTACAAAATTAATTTAATTTTTAGTTGTTCGACAGCACTAACTATTCAACCAATTACTTTTGACGTACCATGACTAACTCCTAGAGATACACCTGCATATATGAACATCAAGTCATTTCCATTTTAATTAAATTAACATACATTGTGGAGAGAGCCCATGGCTGTAGCGATCCCGTTCCAGACTGGCTTGTTTGTAAGATGATCTGTCGTAGTCTGATCTTCCATAATGATCCCGATCCCGACTTCCACTATGGTCTCGCTCCCGAACTTCTCGTTCTCTCTCCCTTTCACGGTATCTTAAAAATAATTTAATATAAATAAATTCTCGTAAAAAGTGATTTGACAGAGTACAAAAAGTAATGCGATGCAATACCTTTCTTCAGTTAAACATTGTGTGCTTGAGTAAAAAAGCAAACAAGAAAAATATAAAAGTTAAGAAAAAAACCTTTATTGACATCAACCTACCTGTCATCTCTCAATGTATAGCGCTCATATTTCTCTCTTTCAGCTAACTTTTCTCTGTAATCCCTCTCTCTGCTGTACTCGTGGCGGTCCAAGTATGGGTCTCGTCTTTCATAGTGGTCTCTGCTGTAAGGGTCTCCCAGACTGAGAGATTCTAGAACACAAAATGTATATAAATTATAGTACATTCACTGAAACATTTTTCAAAATGTACTTCATAAATTGTACCTTTTTCATAGCCCCTTTCAGTTCGTACAGGATCTGGTCTTAAAATAATTCTTTCACCATAAGATATTTTTTCAACAGTCGTCCCAGGCTCTTGAATCAAAAACACAAAAATCAACACGACAAAAAAATAATGGAAAAATAATGAATTATGAATTGTACACCAGACTGGCCATACAGCCCACACAAATATACCATATAAAACCTTTTGTGAAATCATCATTATAATTTAAAACAACATGGAGGTTTTAAAAAGGAAAACAACTTCTATCGAAACAAATTGAAAGAAATAAGTATAATACTCAAATTTGAAAAAGATTTGTTTGCGTGATGATATTTGGCATAACATTAATCTTAACGAATACAAATTCCTACCATGCCCGTGCGCATAATCCACAGTTTTTGGATGAACAGAACTTTGACGAGTTATCTGATAATCGGTGGCAGCAAGATGGTCATCTCCAGTCAAAGGGTCTTTACTTGTAGACTGTGAAGCAATACCCTAATTGAAATAAGAAGGGCGTAAGTTATTAAGGCCACGTTAAGCAACTCATGGAATTCAACTTTTTTCAAAAACACCTTCAAAACATTTTTTATGTCTTGTGGAATCTCCAGACCAAGAAGACCAGCAGGAAGCTCAGGCATAACATCAGAAGCAAGAGCAGAAGGCTGTGGCTCAACACTCAAAGGATTCGTTTCTTGCAGTTCCCTGAAGATAAAGAAAAAACTTGTCTAAACAAAAAAACTAAAACCAACAACTACTGTACAATGAAAAACTTACCTAATCAATTTAAGTTCTTGGGCTGCTTTTAAGATGATCTCATGTTGTCTCTGGGAAAGAGCTAGACCTCCAGCACTAGTTCCTTGTGTTGCAGATTCATTATCTGGCAAGTTTGAAACCGACTGAACTGGTCTTTCTAAAGATGGATCTTTTTTTTCCAGATTTTCAGGCCTATGTTCATAGTCAGGATAATGTCTTTCTGGAAGTGGGGAGAGTCTTGAACGTGCTACTGAATAAGAAGGATCGTTGTGTCGATAAGGTTCATCTCCATACTCCCTGACCCTAAGTTCTCCTCTTGGTCTGTCTTGTTCGTCATAAGTATATGGTGGACCCCTATCTCGCTCATCTGCCCAGGGATCATCCCTGAAAGCCTCTGGTGGAAGCATACGAGGTGGATATCTCCTCTCAGAAGCAGAAGCTTCTCTATTCCAAGGTGATTCATAAACATCTCTAGGATAGTCTAAACCTCGACTATATGGTACCTCTCCATGACCATAATCTGCCACAAACCCCTCTTTTAAATCTTTGTCATATACTTCATCTGGTGGAAAAGTGCTTCTGCTCATTCCAGGACCAATAGGCTTCCTTATCTCATCCCTCTCCAAGATTTCATGTGGTGGGGGAGGACATTGCCCATATTGCATTTGTCTATCTGCCTCTTCTTCGTACCAGTTATCTGCTTGAAGTTCATTAGGATGTGGTGGTGCACCCCTTCCTCTTCCTGCTTCAGCCCGCCAATGAGGGTCGTTGTACAAGGGATCTAATTCAGTATCTATTTCGTAATGCTCTGAACCTACAGGTCTATGGGCCGGATGAGGAGGCCTCCCTCGACCAAAAGGTGGACGCCCTTGACCAGGTGGAAATGGTGGCCTCATACCTCTGTGACTGATTGGAGGGCCCCACTCATCCCAGTATTTGTCTTCTTCTGGAGGGCACTCTGCAAACTCTGCATTCTCCCAGTCTGTTGTATAGGCTGGGGGGCCTCCTCTACCCACTGGTCGACCTCCTCTCCCCAAAGGTAGACCCCCTCGACCATGCGGTGGGTGTCCCCGAGTCATTGGTGCACCTCCCCTACCCATGGGTGGCCCCCCTCTCATAGGTGGTCCTCCTCTAATAGGAAGGCCACGTGGGCCTCCTCTCATGAAAGGAGGATGCCCTCTACCCAAAGGAGGACCTCCCCTACCCATTGGGGGACCCCCACGTCCCATTGGGGGACCGCCACGCCTCATCGAGGGACCCCCACGCCCCATCGGGAGACCCCCGCGCCCCACGGGAGGACCCCCACGCCCCATTGGCAGAGGTGGTCTTCCACGCATTATTGGGTGACCACCTCTTCCCATATAAAACTCTGCTGGGTCCTCATAATATTCTTCCTCTGTTTCATACATTTGCTCATCAGGTATCCATACTTCATCTGTTGGTTCTGAATCATCATGAAACTCCACATGTGAAGGATCTTCCCAGTACTCTTGTGACTCATTGGGCACATCCATATCTGTATTGGATTGCTCGTAAACATAAGACTCTTCATCCAAGTCCCTTTCAAATGATGTACTGTTGGGTGAACTTAAGCCTTTTTGCTCTACTTGCCCTCGTCCTCTGCCACGAATGGGAACATTGGGTTGTTCATGACCTCTTCCAACTGAAAGTATTGCAGCAGAATCTGATTTTGGTGGGCCTGGTTTGGACAGATCTGATTGCAATCCAGGTGGATTATTTGATTGCAATTCGTCTTTATGAGAATGTTGTGCAAGAGTCTTCACAGCTGAATGCTCGGATACGGAGGCTTTGGAATCAGGGGGTTTGGATTTTTCTGCAACAGGCGCATTCTTTTTTTGAGTCTGAGGAATTGGATCGCTTTGAACAAAAAAACCCTCATTATCAATCATGCTGTCATCTGTCAGATCAGTATCTAAACTCTTTTTCTTTTCTTCAGTCTTTGGTTCCTCAACAGGCTGTTTACTTTCAGGAGAAATCTTAGCATTGTTTTCCTGTTGAGGTGGACGAGATAGAGGGGCTTGAGGTCTTAGTTGTGGACGAATTTGATTTTGGTGACTTTGTGGTTGGTCAAATTGTGGCCGTGGAGCGTCAAACCTTTGAGGTCCGTCAAACCTTTTAGGGCCGTCAAACCGCTGAGGGGCGTCAAACCGCTGAGGGCCGTCAAACCGCTGAGGGCTGTCAAACCGCTGAGGGCCGTCAAACCTTCGAGGGCCGTCAAATCGCTGCCGTGGTTGGCCAAAACGCTGGGGCGCTTCAAAGCGCTGTCGCGGCCCATCAAAGCGTTGCCGTGGCCCATCGAAATGTGGAGGCCCATCGAACCGTTGCCGTGGCCCATCGAACCTTTGCCGAGGCCCATCGAACCTTTGCCGAGGCCCATCGAAGCGCTGTGGTCCCTCGAAGCGCTGTGGCCCCTCGAAGCGCTGAGGCCCATCGAAGCGCTGAGGCCCATCAAAGCGCTGAGGCCCATCAAAGCGCTGAGGCCCATCAAAGCGCTGAGGCCCATCAAAGCGCTGAGGCCCATCAAAGCGCGGAGGCCCATCAAAGCGCGGAGGCCCATCAAAGCGCGGAGGCCCATCAAAGCGCTGAGGCCCATCAAAGCGCTGAGGCCCATCAAAGCGCTGAGGCCCATCAAAGCGCTGAGGCCCATCAAAGCGCTGAGGCCCATCAAAGCGATTTCGTGGGCCATCAAAACCGCCCAATCTTGATTGACCATCAAATTGTGAAGGACTATCACAACTTTGCTTTGGAGTATTATACGGGTCTTTAAACCCAGGTTGTGGTTGTTCAAGTCTGGAAAACAAAGAGCAGCACAGTCAGTTAACATGCCAAAGTAATATTATGGCAGAGGGAATAACCAACACTGACCGTGAATCTCCAACACCACCTAAAGTGGAAGAGTATTCCGAAGCCTCCTTGTTGACCGACTGTTTTGACTGATTAGGTTCAGAGTTAAATTTCCCCATTGAGTTCTCCGTGTTGCTGAATTGAGCTGCAACATGGGGAACAATTGCAGTGAGGGTGGCAACACGTTCTTGAACGTGAGCATTTGTCACATTCATCTGTTGCTGCCATTGCTTCCATTGGCTTTCGTAGTCCTGTAGTTGGTCTTTGTGGGGATAGCTTTGGAACTGCTCATACCACAGTTTAAAGGTTCTATCCCATTCTTCATACATTGGAACAAATTTCTGCTGCAGTGTTTTATAATATCTAAACTGCAATTCAGCCGAGAGACTCTAGGGGAGAAAAATAGATTATTCTAAATACATTCAACAAAATGGCATTTCATCCATTAAACTAGCTGCTAATTTATTACTTGGAAAATAAAGTTTTCACAGACCTCTAAAACTAGCTTTTCAATGCATAGTGGGGTTCCTATTTCACAAAGTCAAAATAAAATAAAAGGGCACACCTGTAGGTTTGGAGGTTGCTGAATCAGCTGCTGATACTGTTCGAGGACCTTCTGGAGATTTTCATGTTGCTTCATGAGAGCTTGGTATTGTAAACCTGCCTTCTGCTGCTGCACGTGTTGCCACTGGGCTGCAGCAGCCTGGAGCTGCTTGAGGCGTGCAACCTCCTCTGGATCATTAGGAGTTTCAGGCTTTGAACGGAAACAAGGAAGAGAAGAACTGAACATCTTGTCTTCATTTGATTGCACAATTGTCTTACACTGTAGTGTGGCCACAATCAACTAAAGTCCGTTTCAAGCATAGCCGCTTGCTAGCTGCAGGATGCATGAGAGGCATTGAACAAAAGTTTGGGTGGCAGAAAGGATGGCCAACATGCTAGCTGTTTGTGGGAAAAATGTTGCTCAAACTAATAATAATAATCATCCATCCATCCATTTTCTACCCTTTAATCCATTTCTGGGTCAGGGGGGTGGCAGTCAGAGATGCCACCCAAGTCTCATAGCACCAGCCCCTCACTGACCCTCTGCAGGTGGTGAGTCCACAGGAGGACGGCTGCTCTCTGAGTGTGAGCATAGCCTTGATCTTTCAGTGAGGGCTTTGGGCAAAGTGGGGTTAAGTGTCTTGCCCAAGGACACAACGACAGCAGTCATCAGTGGGAGTCGGTGGAGAAGGTGCAGAGGTGGGAATTGAACCCACGACCTTCTGGGCTTAAGGCCAATGCTCTACCAACTGAGCTACTGTCGCCCCATAATAATAATCAGAATCATTTTTATTGCCACGTAAGTAACAAAGTTACCACTTGGAAATTGTTTTGGCAGATAGCGTGCCACTTTGCCATTTGCGGCGCTGTGTGCAATAACAGATTCCGTTCTGCTGATTATTGATTTAAAAACATTACCTAAAAATCAACCACAATCACAATATCTCTGGTACAGAGATGTACAAAGTTATTTCCCTGTGCATAGCATCTAAAGTATCGATACCTGCCAGCCATACTTGGTGACCCATGAAACGCTACATCACAAAACAAATACAATTTTCTACAGATCTAATAGATTACCAAATGTAGATGCTCTACGGTATGAAAGCTTTCAGGAATATTAATGTAAATGTAGTGAACATTTACTCCACTCTTCTTGAAACTTACTCTGCAAAGTAATTCTATTTAAGTTTAAGTTTTGAGTCCGCTTTTTGGGCTGGAGACAACCACACTATCATTTACCATATTCATGATGCAAATTTATTGCAATTTATCAATCTCTAATTCACCATGCAAAAGTTGAGCATTTCAATTCACTTAATTCTCTTTTTTTAGTATTGTATAAAATTAATAAATAGATTAAACATGTGCTCGTGTAAGTTAGTATGAACTTTTAGAAATCATATGAAAGCGTGGCATAAAACTACTGCTTAGCTTTTTGTGCTGAATCAAAAAGCCCAAAAAGCATTGTGCATTTTGATTTGAACATGTGTGAAACATGCACCGTTTACAAGCACTCAACAGTGTATTGGCTTCACAAAACCAATGGGCAGTCCAAAAAAATGCGTATTTCTTCCATAACAATAATATCACTATCGAAATACTAAACACTCATATCGTGCAGCCCTAATATGTACATATTAACATCACTAAATATTTCACACAGGACGCCAGGGTAGGCCGATGTTTTTATCTCTGCAACCAGCCGCAGACAGGCCAAAGGCTCCAAGCCCCTCCCATACCAAAGAATAAATACATGTATACACAATAAAAACCTTTCCAGGCTTCTTCCTCTCACACTATATTGTTAAAGCTATTATTCAACACACTTTAATACTACAGTGAATATATGTGTGTACATAGAGCAAACATGGCGCTTTGAAAGCGCAGACAACTGTGGAAAACATCTGGCACACATCTCTCCTGAGTGGGAGAAGTGGGTGAAAGACAGGAAAATGAACATGAAATAGTTTAGAGAATTAGAATTAAAAAACACAAATTACAATAATGATTATTTAACCCTTTCATGCATAGTGGTCACTACAGTGGACAGCTATTCAATAGTTATTTTCTTCCATATGGGTGAGTTTAAAAGTCCCAGTTACACTTATATCACTATAGTGGACCCTGGTGTGTCTGGCCATATGCACTGCTACAGACTGGTGAACATACAAATGTAAAAAAAATCTTTAAAAAAAGATGGCCGACAAAAATGTGCTTAGTGAAGGAGGAAAATCTGTTCATACACTATATTCTAGGCAGGTAAAAAAAAAATTGTGGACGTCAAGTAACATCTAAGGAGCCGTATAATTGTTGAAAACCCCAAGTATTGATTTTCTGTTTTGAGGAAATTGCCATGAATCATGTGTCCACTAAATTGGACGTTGTGCATCACTGGCTACATTTTGAATACAAAGCATAGTGTTGCTGTAAATTAGTTGATTCTGGAAATACCTAATTTTCAACACAGTTTTGGCTGCAAATAAATTACATTATTTGATATATATGACAGCTTGTGAATATTTGCCATATCATGAGAATAATGATCCTTTTCCATGTGTTTTGTAGCGGTCAGGGCCAGAAGAGAATAGAAAAGCCTAGATGATAGTCCAGGGACTACCATCTGACTCAAGTGAGGGTGATGTTTGTGGGAATGAATTTTACCAGACAAAAGACAATTATCATATGGTAACAGCTGTGAGTGTGAAGTTTAAGATGTAGGAGGAGAAGAACATGCCGAGTAATTTGAGGTGAATGATGAGGCTGAGGGAGATGGTGCTGTCCGACTTGACCAAGCTCAAAAACACAAAACTATAGATAGCAGACATGTCTGCAAAGCCAAAGATAATAAGTTTGAGGGACATTTTACTCTTTACTTTTTAGGAGAGTGGTAGGTGAAGATTGAGGAAGGAGCCCCAATAGATTTCTTCATTCATCAAATTCCGAATGAGCTGATTGATGATATTATGGTCAACTCAGACCTCTATACTTTGCAAAATGGAAAATAACTACTGGGCATGGCACTGGGTGAACTGAAGAAGTTTCTAGAGATCAATCTGGTCATGTCATACTCAAATACCTCAAATGTACAAGCCTATGCAGATACGAAAGTCTGGTCTTAGTTCTATGCTGATTAGTACCAGCCAAGTTCATTGTTGTATTTCAGTCATTTATACATCCATCCATCCATTTTCTTCCGCTTCATCCGTTGCCGGGTCGCGGGGGCAGCAGTCTAAGCAGAGACGCCCAGACTTCCCTATCCACACTCACCTCCTCCAGCTCGTCCGGGGGGACTCCAAGGCGTTCCCAGGCCAGCTGAGAGACATAGTCCCTCCAGCGTGTCCTGGGTGTTCCCCGGGGCCTCCTCCCGGTGGGACGTGCCCGGAACACCTCCCCAGGGAGGCGTCCAGGAGGCATCCGGAACAGATGCCCGAGCCACCTCAACTGGTTCCTCTCGACGTGGAGTAGCAGCGGCTCTACTCCGAGCTCCTCCCGTGTGACTGAGATCCTCACCCTATCTCTAAGGGAGCGCCCAGCCACTCTGCGGAGGAAGCTCATTTCGACCGCTTGTATCCGCGATCTTGTTCTTTCGGTCATTACCCACAGCTCATGACCATAGGTGAGGGAGGAAACGAAGATTGACCGGTAAATTGAGAGCTTTGCCTTTCGGCTCAGCTCCCTCTTCACCACGACGGTCCGATACAGCGACCGCATCACTGCGCACGCTGCACCGATCCGCCTGTCAATCTCACGCTCCATCCTTCCCTCACTCGTGAACAAGACCCCGAGATACTAACTCCTCCACTTGAGGAAGGGCCTCTCCACCCACCTGGAGAGGGTAAGGCACCTTTTTCCGGTCGAGCACCATGGCCTCAGATTTGGAGGTGCTGATTCTCATCCCAGCCGCTTCACACTCGGCTGCAAACCGTCCCAGTGCATGTTGTAGGTCCTGGTTCGTTGGAGCCAACAGGACAACATCGTCTGCAAACATCCATCCATCCATCCATTTTCTACCCTTTAATCCATTTCTGGGTCAGGGGGATGACAGTCAGAGATGCCACCCAAGTCTCATAGCACCAGCCCCTCACTGACCCTCTGCAGGTGGTGAGTCCACAGGAGGACGGCTGCTCTCTGAGTGTGAGCATAGCCTTGATCTTTCAGTGGGGGCTTTTGGGCAAAGTGGGGTTAAGTGTCTTGCCCAAGGACACAACGACAGCAGTCATCAGTGGGAGTCGATGGAGAAGGTGCAGAGGTGGGAATTGAACCCACGACCTTCTGGGCTTAAGGCCAGAAGGCCAGAATCTCTGCAAACAGCAGAGATTAAATCCTGTGGTCCCCGAACTGGACCCCCTCTGACCCTTGGCTGCGCCTAGAAATTCTGTCCATGAATACAGTGAACCGGTGACAAAGGGCAGCCCTGGCGGAGGCCAACATGCACCGGGAACAGGTCTGACTTACTGCCGGCAATGCACACGCAGCTCTGGCTCCGGTCATACAGGGACCGGACGGCCCTCAGCAGAGGACCCCGGACTCACGGAGGACCCCCCAAAAGGACACCCCGGGGAACACAGTCGAACGCCTTCTCCAAATCCACAAAGCACATGTGGACAGGTTGGGCGAACTCCCATGAACCCTCGAGTATCCGATGGAGAGCGTAGAGCTGGTCCAGTGTTCCACGGCCGGGACGAAAACCACACTGCTCCTCCTGAATTCGAGATTCGACCATCGGCCGTAGCCTCCTCTCCAGTACCTTGGAGTAAACCTTACCAGGGAGGCTGAGGAGTGTGATCCCACGATAATTGGAACACACCCTCCGGTCCCCCTTCTTGTAGAGAGGGACCACCACCCCGGTCTGCCACTCCATTGGCACCGCCCCCGATCGCCACGCGATGTTGCAGAGACGTGTCAGCCAAGACAGTCCTACAACATCCAGAGACTTTAGATAGTCAGGACGGATCTCATCCACTCCCGGCGCCTTGCCACCAAGGAGGCTGCCAACCACCTTGGTGACCTCTGCAAGGGTGACAGAAGTACAGCTTGCCAGAATCTCTTCGAGGCCGACCGATAGTCATGCTCCATGGACTCTCCGAACTCCTCCCAGTCCCGGGTTTTTGCCTCTGCAACAGCCCGGGCCGCGGCACGCTTGGCCTGCCGGTACTAGACAGCTGCCTCAGGAGTCCCCCGAACCATCATGGCTCGATAGGACTCCTT